TGAGTCCACAGGTTTTGCATATTGTAAACAGTACAGGGGATGCAGAGAAGCAATACAAGTAGTGGAACAACAAAAGTGGATTATAAATAAATGATTATTGAATCTGCTCACCAGCTGTGACTTCATATTCACTGGTATCAATACCATCTTTAGAACCACAACTTAGGTGCACGGTCTCCTGCTTCTGTCAGGTTGTTCTTAGACTTCTACAATTCAGTGAGCCACTCCTGCAGGTAGCCAGCTGTACTTTTTAGCATTCAGCAGAGTTGCAATGGGCAGTAAACAGACGAACAGCTTTTCCTTGTGAGCTCACAATCACAAATAAGACACAGAATTGTCAGGAGATCTGAGACTTCCATTTAAGACACGCTGCTTATTCTCCTCTGCCGATTACTCTTCTAGCTGATGTGCAGAAGGCATAATGACCCGAATGCAGAGGAGGCGTATTCACATCTGTTTTCCTCTCTTTTCACTTTTTGTTCTTGCTGAAGGTCTCTGGGATTTTGCTTTGAACCGTGCCACCGGTATTAATCAACATTAACAATGCTTGTTAAGCCTTGCTCCATTCAGCTCCTCTTCTTTGTCAAATACCAGATTTATACGAGAACAACTATGGCAACTGTGTGATGCACAACCCAACCGCAGCTCACACTCAACCATGCTGGGATGTGCTGCCTCACAGATGCACACTGAAGCACAGAAACACAGTTGTTTGTTCCTAAAAATAAGGAAGAGAAAGCCTTCCTTTGCTTGAATCACATATTGATGGTGTCAAGGTATTTTTTGACATGTACAAAGATTTCTTACGACTGATTCTGCAAAGCAGGAACCAAAAAAAAAAACAGAGCGAGGTACAGGGTTAGGATGTGAAAAGGAATGATATATCTGAAAGAAAGAGCAGGAAGAAAAACAGAGAGCAGAGTCTTCAGCATTTCTGTGAATATTGCAGTGAGGAGACATGAGAGAGGAAAAGTTGAAAAAGACGGAGACGGCAGAATGACTGAGACATCGAACCTAGCTAGCAGAGAAAAAAAGACTGGGAGAGATGGAGGAGTAGAAAGCTGTGTTTCGTAGAGATGCTCAGAAAGGGTGTCAGCTCGATCCCCACCTGAGCAGCCATCTTGGGTGGCTAATTATGATGAGTTACTTGCACTAGTGGGAGTTTGCACCTCACCTGTATCCGTTTAGGAAGGCCTCCCCACCAGAGACTGGGATATCTCCTGTCAGCATCTTGAACGTGGTGGTTTTCCCAGCCCCATTGATTCCCAGCAAGCCGAAACACTGGGGAGGCGTCGATAAGGAAAACAGTGTTATGAGGAAACAAGCATCATTGGAAACAAACAGAAGGAAACTTTGCTGGATGACATTTAGAATTCTGGGTAAGTATAATAAATCTAATCTCTAGAGAGTGTGTAAATATTGAAAATACACTGATTACAGAATGCATGACTAGTTCAATGTTTAGCAAAATAACATTATATTTCAGGATATGTCTGTACACAAACAAAACGACACACACTAAATCAACACGGCAAACTCACAGTGCAGTCACAAAAAAATGTCCCTACAGCATTCCTCCTTGCTACAACAAACATTGTCCTCGCTCCTTCTCTTCTCCCTGATGCTGCTGATTTTACTTCACCCCCGGCACCCCCACGGCCACGTGACCTGCCCGAGGTGCTCCGGCTCGGGCATAAATATTTGATTCCCGTCATTCATTGATCCCCGCTTGTTTGTGACCTGCGCTTGTGAATGCAGAGAGGAGGGCTAAGCTTGATGTAAATAATGCATGGAAATGCAGTGTGTGATCAGCAGAGTCCTGTGAATCACAATCCTCCGCTGGCATTTACACTGGGCTTTGGGTAAACAGTGGCAGAGAGGATGGATATCAGCACAGAGCCCACCAATCACGACTTCCTGTCAGCATTTGGGATTATGTTTAAATCAGGCTTCCGGCAGTACAGTGTCTCTGTGTGTGAGAGACGCATGTGTAATATATAGCATGGTAATGAGTAAGGATGGTTTACTCAGACTGTTTGAAGGTTTCTTTGTCAAAGACTGTGCAGAGTTGTATTTGGTTGTTTCCTTCAGCCAATTTATACATGTAGTGAACTTAACATCACTGGGCCCTAAAGCCATCGCTCTGCAATGCTCTTCTCTTGGCCGTATTGTTTGTTTTTAGCTCAAACATACTTGGCAGCGGCATAATGCAATTAAACAAGCCGGATAAGGAGATTAGTGCTTCTTCCAACTACCTTTTCTGAGCAGCGTTCGGAAGAAATTTTGATTTGACTCAGTCTGAGGAGAGATTGAACCGAACAACTCAAATCTTCAGACAAAGCCCACACAGAGAATGTCTGTTCATTGCTGTGTGTCAATATTTGATAAATATTATCATTAATATTTAGCTTTCAGTTGAATCCTTTTTTTCAGTCAACACGTCCAAAGAATTGAACAAATCTTCCACATGGGTTTTGTTGGTGAATTTCAGAAGTTATCAAATGTGCAAATGTGCAAACGTCTTCCACCATGGGCTTGAAAAGGGTCTTGTGTGATTCAGCAGTAGTTGTCTCACCTCTGCAGCAGGTACACTCACACATAGTCTGTCCACAGCGGGGGTGCTCTTCCGAGAGTATACCTGCGGGGAGCGGGCGATAAAATGAATCAAGCAGTCAGCCAGAGAAAGAGAGAGCAAGAGGCAGAGGAAGGGTGGGGAGCAGACAGTGAGGAAGATAGCAGAGACGGCAGCATGATAAAAATATGGAGCGATAGAGCAGAGCAGCAGGGAAGAGGTGGGATGGAAGAGGCAGGTGAAAAGAAAAAGAAGGAACAAGACAGAGAAGGTGAAGGAAACAAATCTTAACAAGAAGGGATCATTTGCAACATTTTTACGACGAGCCAGATGGGAAAAGGTATTTTAAAAAAAAACTGTGAGACACTTGAATGGAGGGAGAGGGAGGAGATGAACATTAGTATTAGTGACCTGAATGAGGGAATCTGTCTCTTCTTTAAAGACAAGGGTACTTGTGTCAACCAGTACTTTATGTACTGACACCAAACTGTAAGCACAGTTATAGCAATAAAAAGAACACGTCTAAAATCAACAGCTATTACAGGGTTGTACACATATTTCTGCACCTGTCGGATGGACAATAACCAAGTACACACACATTAGCTCGGTTTTGGATTAACAATGAGGCAATTCAAAAATGGAATCAAGACCAAATTTATACAAACAACATCAAACAAGGCAGATAAAACCACCATGGGGAAAAAAAATGGCTAAAGTAGAATTCCAAAAAAAGTAAACTATAAGAAGTGGTCTGATAATTTATTTGTCATAAAACATAGCTAAAGAAAGTGAAAAAAAACATCTGCTCACACGCCGAAATATAATGGAATTTGTGGGAAGTTCCATCGAAATGATTTTGTGTAAAGATGCTATCAAATAAGCCGATAAACCAACAAAGTGATGAGGATGAAAACATCACTTCCTCGTCTGAGGTAAAGAGAAAGGATCTCACCTCTCAGGACAAAGAGGAGAATGAAACTTCTCACATTCTGACTGTGAGTCAGTATCCTGCTAGGATCATATAGCGGCGCTGGAAATGAGAAAGTGCTTGATGTCTCTCACATCTCACTTGAAAACTTTCCACGGTGCATCCATTTCCTCCCACGCTGACCAGCCTCATCCCTGTTTTCCATTCTAGTCTGTATCATCTGAAAGATCCAACCAGAGGAGGTAAAGAAACCTCCACTCAAAGTGAAGAGGATTCATGAAGAAGTGAGAAAAACAAGCTAATGTTCAACAAAATGAGATATTGCATGAGGGCTTTTTCCACATCCAAGACCATGTAAAGGTTTGATATATTTTCAATGTGGTTTGAAAGCAGCCTTGTCTTGCTCGAGCACAAAAAGACAAGATAAGGGCTTTGTTGTTGTTGCTGAGTGTGACAGTTAAGACATTTAGCATTCAAAATCAAGGACAGATCTGAGCCCCTTTGAGTTACGAAAGAGTGACAACTTTTAGCAGCTTTTTAAAGTTTTGTAAAAGTTGAAAACACAACTTCTCTAAACGCAGCTCGTGTTTACGTGTCTGCACGTGTCAGAGACTGAAACAAAGAACGTTCAATGATGGAAAAGTGACAGCTACCTTTTTCAGTACATTTCCTGTGTATCGTTTCTAAACACAAACAACTATCCAGCGTCAGAAACAGTCAGCTGTCGCAAACGTGTCCGCAAAGCTGCCGGGCAAAATGTAAATTTAGAACTGCCACTTCAAACCTGACATGACATTGGATTTATGACACAGTTGGCACATCAAAAGCATTTGATAAAAGCCGGAGTTGCATAGATCCATCATTCTCTCTGTGCCATCTGGCAGCTGCACTCAGCACTTATCAACCTGTGTTACCCACTGCACTTTTTAGTGATAGTTTGCAGCACTAAAGCTACATCAAAGATCCGATACGTGTACGGAGGAAGGCAATTAAAGGATAATTCTCCTCTGACTCGAGCACCACGGCAGCTGTCTTGATAAGCAGGCCGACGTCTAATCAGATGAGACAGTCGAGAGAACGTGATGGCAGGAGTTGAGAAGCTCTTAAATATAGATGCGGGTTTGAAAATCTCAAGCTTTGGGCACTGGATGCCACACGTCAGGAAGTAAAACATAACACTGACACTGCTTTATGAGTCGACATGATGTGGTCCATCAAGTCCAGCAGTGACAAACACATCCCACTCTTTACAAAATGCCACTTGAACTAGAGAGATGCCCAGGTTTTAAAAATCTGACCAATTTATACATAAAATACATAATAATAATGAATTAATAATATAATGAGGAAGAATGATGGACGGAATAAAGAATGGCTAAGGTCTCTCTGAGCTAGGCAATAAAACTATTTCATTAACTATCAACAACAATAATGACGAAAAACCGATATTTAAGTCTTATGAACAGCTTAAAAACATATAAGTATATCAGAGCCACTCCTGTTCCTTGTGGAACATTACAGCAAACATGATCTTTAACATCTATTCACACCCGCACTTTTACTGATCAGACCTGGACGGCTAGAAAACAAAAGGGAATTATGGGAATTTAAGAAAATAACGACAACAACAATAACGTCAACATGTCGTCCCGCCCAAACAGGTGCTTCACTGTTACAGTAACAAGAGCATGGAACTGTCATTCAAATCCGATTTGTCAACACCCACGTAGTCCTGACCTGCGTGGGTGCACTGAAGGTGAGCATGGGCTTTTTAGTGGTTGCAGATCAACTAGTGATGCAAAAATGATTTAGCTTGTGATGATTTAAGATTCACACCCATCAAAATAAAGTGATGCCCTGTGGAGTCTTCTTGTTTCTGTGTGGCAGATATCCTTCAGTTATGGTGAATATGTTTACTTCCTCATTAAGGATATTACATATATGCATTTAAATTAAAAGCTGATGAGCAATATGAAGATAGATATTATATCGACCAGCACTTGGAATCTACTCGCTGTGTGCCAAGATGCATCTCGTCATCCCCGAGACACAAGGTTCTTTAAAACATTCTCTGTCAGCTTAGTGAGTGACTGGAAGGTAAAGTGACAGCACTGGGCCAGGAAGAGACTCGCAGACCGACACACTTCCATTACAGTCTCCATCGATTACAGTGCCGGTGCTAATGCAGCAGCTAAGTGGAGGCTAGCAGGTGGAGCCCATTGCAAATCTCTCATGCTTCGAGCCGCAGGAAAAGGAAGGGGAGGAGCGGGATCCTGACACATGATTGATGGCCTGTCGATCGCTTCAGAGGCATGTTTAGATTTATGACAGGGCCCAGCCTGTGGCGCGTGGCTGCGGTGCGGTCATTGATCAATTTGTTATCTGCACCCCAAATGGATGGGGCACAGCTGTGGTGGGAGTCAATGAGGGCACCGCAGGAGGAATCCTGATGCCTTCTGCCACTGTTTTGTGTGATGATGGGCCACTGCATCTCATCTCAGAGAAATGTTGTCAACCATGAAGGTGCACATTAACGATGGCTGAGCCGCTTGTCAACAACAGACCAGCTCAGTCACATTTAATGTTTTCTTTGGCACTGTTCAGAGTTTTATTTTACAGTAGACTACATGTGTTTTGAAGGGATTGAGTGTATTAAAAAAGTTTTCCCTGAAGTGAACATTTCTCTCCAAACATTTTCACCTCGTGAGATGATGTGTAACACCTTACCCATCCAACTTTTTCACCCAGCGCTTGTTTAGTAATTACCCTCGGGACCACAGTGCACGTCTGCGCTCATGAGCAATGAGCGACGGATTAAGTATGGTGAGACTGAGAAGACCGAGTGAGTAAAGGAGTGAAAATGGGTGGTAAGAAGCAAAAGGCTGTTAGATTGTCCAGATGTTGGCACTGGAGCTGCAAAGCAGGCAGCTGCGGTGACACTTCCCGCTGCCACGGCGCCTGCAGCGAGGGAACATCTGTGGATGGATGAAGCGTTAATCCCGGCGGTGTTGAGGCACGCACACTCATAGCATGCTCGACTTCCCCTACTGGAATAAGGGGAAGAACTAAGGTTTAAAGGAGCACAGACCTTTACATCCCTAAAAATGAAGTCCTGTGTGGTTATCATGCCCACTTCCGATGAAATTTCAGATCTGCAGGCTCTGCAACAACCTGTCTTTTCCATTTTCTCTCCAAACCGAATACCTCAGGTGCACTTTATTAGAAAAAATTCAACTTCGAGAAGGAGATTATTTACAATTAAAGGTCTCTCTTGTAAAAGCGCTAATGTCGCTCAAGAGGCTTCCAGGTTAAATAAAGGTTAAAAGAGATGTTTTTGAAAGTTTATAATGGTGAAGGTTGTTTCTGAGTAATGTTAGAAAACAACCAGGGAGGCAAAAGATGAAGTTCACAGTACCTTAGTGAGGTCACAGATCCTCAGAAGGTCATTCTGGGCTTTGCCTTCATAAACTCGCTCACGCTCCCGTGCAACATCGATATCCTCCTCCTCTGCAGATAATGACTTCCCAGAAATAAGCCTGGCAGAGAGAAGTCGACCACAATTGGCATAACACCCTTCATTACAATTACCATGAACTCGCAGGAGAAATTATCCTGGTCAAAGTTTAAGCTCAGCGAAACAATCTCTGCAATTTTCATAAATAGTAGAAGCAGTGGAAGTAGAAGCCCAGGCATTAGTTTCCATGGCAACCTTGGTTTTGGACTGCTAATTTAAATAGAGGAGAATATGAGGGAAGTGTTCGATCTGAGTGACAGACAAAAGGCTTTGTTTTCTTTCTTAAAGAAAAAAAAAGTCAAATTAATTAAATCTGACAGACACTTTTACCTTGGTTTGCAGAAGAACTTATACTGGATGAGGATTGTGATGGCAAACATGACAAATCCCTGGATGGACATGGCGCAAAGATTCTTTCCCACCATTTCCCAGCTGAGCGGATTTTCGAAACGGTCCTCGCCTGTTACAAAAGGTAGGAAGAAAAAAAAAACAGAAAACAATATGTCAATTGGACTTACCACCTTATGGTTGTATGTCTCTGCCAACCAGGGCAGCTTCAGTTTTAATACTTTATTTTTCCAGACTCATGAGGTCACTGTGACCTGCGACCGATGAATCGAATCAGTTTATGCTTGAGTCCAAGCGAACACTGGTCATAATTTGAAGATACTCACTAAAGGGAGACTTGAGACACAGGGTCACAGCGGCATTGACCTTTAACCACCCAAATCTAATCAGTTAATTTGCGGTTGTAAGCTAATGCGTTCACAAGGCAAAAAACTAAATGTTTGGTGAGGTCACAGTGATCTTGACCTCCGACCACCAAAATCTACTAAGCTCATCCTTGAATCCAACTGAGCGTGTGCAGAAATTCCCTCAAGGCCTTCTTGAGATGTCATGTTCACAAGCATTGGACGGACAGACCATCGCACATACCAACAGACAGACAACAGGAAGACATAGTGCCTCTGGCCTATGGCTTTCACATAATAAACAATTTCGAGAAGTTAAGTAATCAAAATCTATATGACCATGTGTCACTTCACGCTCATTTCAAGCCCTTATCTACAAGCTCAGAGAATAATTTAGCAAAAACATCATCAAACCAAAACGTGAATTGCCAGATGAGTATTTTCTTTCATGGCCAGCCAAGTATATCTACGTCAAAAGTCAAAGGAGAGGTGGAATGTGTCAGCTCTTTGAAGTGTTTCTGGGATATATTCAGTGGTGAGAGCCAGCAGTTTAAATGCCACTTAGCCATAAAAATAAAAAAATAAAAAATAAATCCTGTCACCTGTGTAATATGAGGAAAGAGCTGATATCCTGTACTTTTCATGTTGGAGGCTCTTTTGGCTAATGAACATGTAAGTAAACCGGTGACAGCCCCCCCACTCTAATCATTTTCCATTCTGCTCTCCCTCTTTCCTCCTCTCAGCTGCTACAGTCCTCCACTCTGATGGGGGGAGAGTGAGGAGACAAGAAAAACGAAAGCGCTTTTGGTCTCATTCTCTGGTAAATAGCCCCTCTCCACACTAGGCCTTTTAAGTTGTGATTGCTTTTCTCTCTCTGCTGTACGCCACTGCCGCAAATGATTCCTCAAACCACTATTTCCTGCTCCATCTCTCCACAGATTTGACTCCTCTTCCTCTTTCATGTGCCACTTTGCCTCTTGATGGCCCCCTCAACCCAGGCTCCACCTCCAACAGCCCTGCTCCGCTCTCCACCCCGTCGCCTGTCTAAATTTAACACATCTGGAGAGGAGAGCACTAGACGAGGTTTGAGATTGGTGTTACTGGTCATGCTGGTTAAGTGATGTTTGACGCTCTACCTGGTTAATGAGAGGGATGAAGTTCATTTTTGGAAAGGAACAAGGAAATGTTTCTACAGTTTCTACTTGTTAGCCAGTCCGTCGGTCTGTTGGTCCAACACTTCTGAAATATCTCAATGATGGATTGAAAAGGAATCTGATTCAGACATTTGTCCTCTATCGCCACCTGTAGTTGATTTTAAAATTCTCGGATAGATTGGCATGGAAATTAGTGATGTCCCTTAGATTTTCATTTAGTGATATTATCCAATTGTCAAATATGTCATCAATTCTAAACCTAGTGACGTCACGTTTGATAAGCATGGAAATTAGTTTAACTGTCCATGTCCCTTAGATGTTAGCATGAACATTTCTATTTGTCTAAGAAGTCCAACAGTTTGATTATTTTGACCAAATACTTAAATCGGACATAATTCAAAGGTGTAAGCATTTGCACCAGTGGTACAACCTTAAAACTAATGCAACTTAAAATCTGCAGAAAATAATTATCATGACAAAAAAGCCCTTTACAAAGTTCACAATAAAAGCACAGGGAAATATATCTCACTTGAAATCACAACAAAGACAATTTTTGGATGATTTTCTTTTTGTCTTCAGAAACATGTTGGTAGATGCAAATTCTGTTTAACCTTGAAAACACAAGCGACGTTGTAGATGCAGATTCTTGTTTTGATCTGTACCAGTCTGAATCTTCACACTTTGACAAATGACACATTTCTCAAAAGATCTTAGTCTTCTGATCTGATCTTTGCGAAGCATCGGAGCAGAGATGCTGACAAAGAATGAGCTAATATGTGTGGGAGCAGGTTGAAAGCCTGTTGAAAGGTATTTTACAAGCACATATTGTTTTCTCTTGAAAGAAACGCATATTTTGAAGCATGAGACTTTTCTTGTGTAAATATAGCCACCTCTAAGGTTCATGTTCTTTAGCTACAGTAAGGAGTAAGGAATGAATATTTATTTTCCTCAGTGATTATCTGTAATGTGATCGTGCAGGTGGCGTCTTACCAAAGCTGCTGAAGAGCGTGGCCATTGCCTGGTTCTTGGCCATGTCGATCAGCCCTCTGCCCAGACAGAAATGAGGGAATATCAGCAGCACCTGCTTCACTATGTCATTGATGCGGGAGACGTTCTGTTGAAACACACACACGCACACAATGTAGAAATAAGTGTCATGTAAAACCTCTGAGTATTTGTGCTATATCTGGGAAGTAGCCGGCACAAGCTCAATATGTTGTCTTGCTGCCTTGAATCAGCAGGACTAGAGGCTCGAGAGGTTTGGGAGACGGCGTGCAGTGCCCTGATGCAAGTGTGGATAATTAACAAACATCCTGTACTCCCTATGCATGCTGGGAGCTGTTGTGTTGTGGGGCGCCAAGGAGGCACAGAGGCATCTAAGTTCATCTACCTCCTTGATGGTGTAATTCTAGCAAACGTTACGGAACATACTGTGTGATCCGTGAGGTGTCGCACATAGTGTACGCAGCGTAAGCAGATGTTATCCTTAAAATCATCACCGAGGGGAAAAGGAGCATCCAAAGAAACAAAAACATGAAAACACCTCTGCACTTTTTTTTTTCTGATACGATATACAAGAAAAAAATGACAGGTACTCACAAACACAAAACTAAAGCGTATCCCTTTACTGTTTTATAAAGTATACTTATACATCTACTACTAGGGGGCAATTCAGTTCTTGTCCTTCTCTACATAACTGTTCTGTCCCTTCCTCCTGCCTGTGATTATGATTCAATGACGGCCGAGCTCAACACAAAAGACATAATTAGATGAAGACACGATGGAGGAGCCTGTATGAAATTGGCTTGAATGAGGACAGAAGTACAGTAAGTCAGGAAGGGTGAGTATACGGGTAAGAGAGGAGAAGGGAAGGAAGAGAGGAAGACAGAATATCACTACATTTGGCACGGCATGCCGTTCAAAGGCAAGTTCATGCATTATGCATTCAGGTTCATTGCGGCATAGTCTTCAAAGCTTTTGCACACATGGGGAGATACTGTATAAATTCATCATTTCTGTTTTTGGGGCGTTCCAAAGCAAAGAGTAGGTGGGGCGGGGACGGCAGTGCTGCGTTCTGTTAAAGCTGTGTGCAAGATTTCCAGATGATGGCCATTATCTTCACGGGATTTATTCAAGGATGTGTGCGACTGCTCTGTGATTTATTAGATTCACTGAGCGAGCTTTCAGGAGGCAGTTGAGGATGAGCGCACTTACCCGTATGACTCTCAGCCTTAAAAACTATACCAATGCCACATTTAAGGATATTTTTATGAAATCCTTTTACTGCATGTGTCTACTTTTTAAAGGTATAGCTTGACATGTGGAAAACATGCTTATTTGAGAGTTCCATAAACAGATTCGATTTACTCTCATATCTAGATAATAAATAGTTCGTCTGAGCTCAGTATATAAACACTGAAAACTGGGGAAAAACAAGCCCAAGATCTGCTTACCAGCATCTCTACAACTCACTAATTAACATGTTGTGTTGCTGGTTGTCTGGGCAGAAAGTGTTTATGGCCAAGAAATCCAGTACACCACCCCCCTCATAAAACAGCTAATTGTCTTTTCTACATAAAGAAAAACAAGATGTAATGTGTTAATTAGTGAGCTGTGGGCAGATGATGTTAGCTGTAGACAGACAAACTGTTTCCATTCTTTAAGCTGTAGTGGACATGAGTGATAGTCGTATTGACCTTCACACCGCCTCTCAGAAAATAAACAGATCTGCAGGTTTTGTCCAGGATATCAAGCTGTACCTTAAAACAGCCATATTTGCTGCTCAGAAAGATGCCATGGGAATATCATGCCATGTTCCAAAACTGGAGAAAATATAAGCTTTGAAAGGTTGAAACTAAGTGTTTGAAAGCTTGAACTCCAGTAAACCTGTTAACAACATGTGATTGGACTGGAGCAAACAATTGGCCAAGAAAAAAAAATCCCCTGCCTCCAGGATCCTGACATTTTTTCTGACCTTTGGTTTCAGAGTTTGAGAGATCAGAACAGCTGGAGAGCTCTGCCACAAAACATGAGATTCCCAAGCTCCCGAACGTGTCTAAAAAACGGGTTGTAAACTTAGTAACAGATTGTTTGAGAAGTGCAGGCGTACAAGTTTCTAAATCCCCATTTTAAAAACTCAAGTTTCAATGTTTCCTATAACGTAAATGCACCAGTTTATTAAACAGCTCTTACAAAGTTTAGTAAACAAACCGATGCACTGGGAGAACAGTGACTCGAAAGTCTAAAAATGTACTGGAGAAAGACTGCAAAATGAGTGCTGCAGTTTTCCAAAAACTCAAAATCATGTTGGCAGAGATTTTATTTTTTTAGCCTGTCAAAACATTACACAAGGCTTCAAGACTCAGTGCAAGAGATTTGTTAGATTTCAACCTTTCAAAGCCTTTTGTTCAGTTTTGGAATATTTATCCCATAAACTCCAAATGTTCACTCAAATCCCATCCTAAGACCTATTCTGGTATCTGATAAACTCCTCTTGATTGACTTTATGTAACAAAACAATTTAAAAACAATCAATATTTTATGTGGGAGGCTCTTGTCTTTCTTAACACTTAACCTGCACATTACTATTCATACAATACAAGGGCATCCGTGTCACCAGTGGACACATGCATAAGTGAGATAATTTCTCTGCATGGGTAGTTGGTCAGCGGTCTTGTGTCTCTCGGGCAGATATGAGCGTGTGATGAAAAGACCTCATTGGTCATGATGTCAGAGCAAACCTTTAGATGTGTTCAACTCCAATTCATCTCCCCTTTAATCTGCATTTACACATTTAGCTGGCGGACGACGGGGTACAAAGCAGTGCAATCACACTTCACACGGAAAAATCTATTCAAATGGTGGAGTCAGTGTTCATGGCTTAAATAATTAAATCCTAAAGATCACGATAATAAAAACAGCAGCCCGTTAAATTGCATCTTAAATTGCTGAAAGTTGTATATCTAATTTTAAAAGAGAGATGATAATAAGGGGAGATGTGGAGCCGAGGAACATAAATATCAACATTTGCAATCAACAGTTTGAGCTGGAGCCAGTTTCTCACGCTGACTTTTATCCAGTTGTTATCTATTTGTCATTTCATGACAGGGAGTCGGCCTGATTTGTATTAAACAGCTGCATGTCACAGCAGCAGAGGAATTTCACTGGAAGATGACATCAAACACATTATATACTTGCCGAGTACTACCTGCCTGCATTTCATGTCAAACATATTTTTATCCCCTCGCTGTTGGCAAATATATGTGCACACACAAACACACACACACACAGACCTACAACTAGGGATTTGTTGAAGGTTCTACTGTTATTTACATTCAACACTAAGCCTCTGCAAAGATAGAGAAAGTCAAATAAATAAACACTAGTAATGACCTTGGCTGAGTGCGACCCGTCTGTCTGGCAGAGGAATGCAAAGAAAGCGAGACTTAATTTGAGATCAATACGTGAAATAACACATCTTCTCTTGACTGGGTGTTCATCAAGGAGACGTAAGAGGCTCTTAGCTGGGGATGATAAAACGCTGGACAATTTTCCCCCTTGCGTTTGTGTTATGTGCTCATAAATCACTTTCAAATGCTTTTGAAGGTGGTATGGTCTACGAGGCGCTTATCTGACCCATATCGCTACTTGTGCTTATTCCCAGAGCAGGGCTTCATTCATAACGCCGCGAATCACAATGAGAGCAGACGGACACGGAATACGGTTTCAACTCATGATTTTTGAAGCAAATTCAGGCATGTTTTCCAATTTTTTGGAAATAAAAAGTTAAGAACTTCTGTTATGAAGAATACAAGATAAAACTACTTTCTTTTATGTCTATTTTAAAACACCCTCTCAATATTGACTGCCAGACTCCAATGGGTAGTATGTGGCCATCACTGCCACACCTTTACTTTTATCCTGCAAAAATCTCTTTGTGCCTGTGGTTATCTCTGAGTGGCACGTGGTGGAGGTATTGACTCAGACTCTGCTTCAAGCACACAAGGCAGCCTGGGATTGATGCAATCCACAGGGAGCTGGACAGTCCTGAGGGGGGAGAAAATCTCCCATTCGTCTCGAGACAAAACTGGGGCAGAGAGTCTGTAACATGGCAGCTCTGCCTCCTCATTCTGTTACTCCTACTATTTTCTCTCTTGGAAAAACGCTGCTATGCCCAAAAGGGATCTGGATTCACCCTGTGCTTTAAAACAGAGAGCAGAGTGGAGTCTGTAGCTTTACTTTGGAGCAACATTGTTTAAGTAATATCACTGCTGAGTCTACACATGATGAGACAAAGCTTTGAAACGGTAGTAGTCGCAAAAAAGGAGCCGACCGGATTGAGCTGTCATGTGTAGGATCTTCTCTTTCTGCTTCACTGAGGGAACATCCGAGTATCACTGTGTCCCCAGTGTGTTAGATATTTAGTGAAGAGTTTTTCACTGTACAGGGGACACATGGAAACCCGGAGGTTGGTGATTGATGTTGATCCGTCAAGTTCTCTTATCAGCGTCGGAATCGAGTGAGATTATCTGAATTATCACGGACCCATGTCCCCGTCGAGTCTCGTAGAAACACTATCTCTGTCTCTAATGCCTTGGACAAGAGGAGTGCACCATAAATCTGTCCCTTTACGCTGCCCGTGGGCAACATGCTGTCCATTAAATTATCACCAGCGGCGCCCTTTATGAGTAATATGCTCCACTAACGCTGTATCAATAAATAAAGTGCATGCAGGGACATCGAGACGGCAACAATTGCTTACTTTAAGGACTGAAAATACAAACTGATAATGAATGCTGGTGATAATAAAGTCAGGATGCAAATGAGGCAGCCTGGTTAGGAGACAGAAAACATCCCATGCCGTCGCCGCGTGGCGCCAGAGGAAACATCAAGTCGGGGCAGGCGAGAAGGGGACAGAGCGAGCAGAGACATCTTAACGGGCTCCATCTGAAGTGTCAGATTAGAATCAAGGGAGCCATTCTGACAAAGAGTCAGATATTTAAGAGTGAAGCGCCGTTGTGTCTGTGAACAAGTAAGGACTGATTGGTGAGTTGAGCTAATAGCACAATTAATAATCAATCACTCAAATTAGGAAAGAAAAGTAAATTATTATCTTCACCTGTAAGAACTTCTGCTGTATAGAGTCTTTGTTACACTAATTCAATTTTCAGAAAATGTCTCTTCTTTAAATGAAGATTTGATTTCAGATCCAATCAAAAGTAAAATGACTGTCATGTCAACATCACCCTCCCTCTCTTTTCCTCTCCAAACTAAGCTCTCCATTTCTTCTCGAGCTCGTTTTCTTTCCTTTTTTTTTTGTTTTTTTTTTGCGTCTTTGTCTTTTGATTCCCCTGAGACCGAAGCAGCTTGCAGTTAAAATGAACACTTGCTGAAAGATGGATGAGGAGAGTTCTCCGAAGACCCAATTCTCACCAAACGATTAAACATTAAGGAGAATAGGGAAAATAATTCCTTTGAAAAAATCCTAGAGAGGATAAAGGAAATATATTAAAAATCATACCAGGTGGGTTCACACCCACGTGCGTATGAAAGCATCTGCTTTGAAAACACAGAGCGTTTATCTATGATTCAAGTAAATTAGACATCCACTGCTACAGCCTCAAAAAATAATTGCTGTGCAGCCCTTGCAGTCTGTGCTGCTCTAGTTCATGGGTGCTTCATCTTCAATAATGTTCAAATGGTGCGTATATGAATGTGCATCTCTTATTTCCCTGGAATATGTGTATAGATGTGTTTCGATTCCACTCACATCATCATCATAGAGCTCCATAAAGAAGGTGGCCACGCTGCCGTTGATACCAATGAAGAGGTTGACGCAGGTCAGCACCACGTAGGCCGTGCTGGGAACGCTGAAGATGAAGGAGGCGGGGTACATCATGGGGGTGATGGACCACCTAAAGAGAAAAACTCAAAATTATCTCTAGTAAACTTAATAAATGGAACATCTGAAATGTTATTTTTGCATAAATGCTGCAAACATTGATATTCCTCTGTCATTCATATCTTAGATTATGCTATTTTGTTGATGTACTCGCTCATCTATGATACTTCTATTCATCCTGGAGGAATGATCCCTCACTTGAGACTGTCCCTGATATTTCTGCCTATTGTCCCCTTGTCAGAAGGGTTCAAACTGTGAGCATGAGCTATACAAATAAAATCTGATTTGATTTGAATCGGGTTAGTGTGACAGCACCAGCTAATGCCATGCAATTTTATTTTCACTCACTAGTGCACATGCAGAGAGTCAGACACAGTGTGCAGAGAAAGAGACATACAAACAACAGAAATTATGAAAGTAATAATAATGAGAATTATAAAATAAAAACCAAAATAATTTAAAATTAGATTAAAAAAGGGGGAAATAAGAATAATCTGTTTAGGTTTATATATATTCATGAGGATTTACAGAATGGGTGGGGGATTTTTTTCTTTTAATTCATGTATATATATATATATATATATATATGTGTATTGTTCTGTTCCCCTCAGTTATATGCTTACACTACTTTACTTTTCATACATATGTTGTGACATTAATTCATGCAATTTTCAATCCCTAAATGCAGACAAGCAGGTTTCTGCAGTTGTCATGGTATCACCAGTCTCGTTTGCAGTAAGGGATCCATAAAAGCTCTGCTGCATGACACACAACATCTGCCAGAAACTGTAATCCAGTTTGCATTGTGAGAACATTTGTTTCAGGATTTTGTTTGACCTTTAAACATTCTATTTTGAAATTAAATTACGCCAGCAGGTCGTGTTTTCGGATTTTATAATCACTGAATATGTTTGACAATAAGACACACTTTTCTAGCTGCATCCACTCTTCCTCATGGCCAGTGATTCTAGAAGCTACCTGGTTTGGTTTTGCATCAGATGTTTGCAAACTCTAGTTTAGCCTCTTTCTGATGATGATGATGCCGAATGAGGAAAGCAGTTGTTTGTGTTTCCGAGTTTTACTGCAAGTTTCTCTGGGCTATTTTCAATTTAGATTAAAATAATAAAGCTACAGCTGTGAGTTGTGTGGTAAACAACTAATAACTTCCACCCTTTACCCTGCTTGTTTTTTTAAGGCATCGTTTATAGTCTCATGCTGTGGCTGTTTTTATTGTGCATTACAACCATGTTGAAGTTCTGCAGCCACCCCCGAGCTAACCCAGTTCCTCACTGAGTGGCCCTGTATGTGAAAACTACAGTTGCAAGCATCTCTGGGAAAAGTTTCTTCAGTCTTTCCTATGTTGATTTTCAAAATAAAAGCCATTATTTTTTGCTTTTATTGATTGAAAAGCATTCAACTAACCATCAAGTTCTGTATTTGTGACCATATGAGGGTCATAAAGCTCCTTACAACCCTCCTCCAACCTGTTTTCACTCCTAAAGTGAATATCAGTTGAATATCCGAAGTATCAGGTGTTTTTATGTACTTACCCATAGAAAACGAGCAGAAGAATCAGCGCAGGCAGGTTAGGAGGCGAGACGTAGGCTTTTTGTTGGAAGGCGAGGAAGATCACAATCACAATCAAACACGGGATGATGTAGTTACACTACGAAACAAACAGAAACAAGCAAAAATTCATCCTCATCTGAAGCCTGTGCATAACATTTCAGGGCGTTCACAAGTGCATCAAAAGATTGGAAACTTTTGATTTATTTTTTTGTTCATTTTTCAAGCTGAAATGATGATGATGTAATTATAAAATCTGCCAATGACATTTTAATTAGCACTTCAATATAGCAGGCTTTAATTTTCTAATTAATTCAGTGAATAACAGACGCATTCCACTGTTTGAGGAAAGAGGTTGCGAAGTGAAGCATTGACCTGAAAGAGGTTAAAATGCTTGCGTAAAGATTTTAATCTAATATGATATTTATTTCTATTCATTTGTTTTAATTATTTTTGATTAAAAAAGGCTGAAAAAAGCTTGAACTCAGGGTTTTTATTTTTTTCTGTAACAATTAATTGAAAATAACTTATAATGCTACTATCTTTTAATTTAGGAATAATATTTCCGAACTTTGCTCTTTTATAAAATAAGCCCAGTTTCCCGCTGGTGGATAAATGATGCACTATAGATAAAATAGCAAGAAACAATGCTCTAATCACCATTCACAGAAAACTTCATACCCATGTATGAAGGGGTTTTCAATCTGGATTAAATACCCAATGTTGATGGAGCAGGAATGCTAATGCAGAAAGCTTTGGGCGAGAATCATTGGACTGGCTCCTTAGGTCCATTTGTCTTCCACTCAGACAGCATTTATCTGCCATAATGATGAGCGCCCTGACACCACTTCTTTACCAAAGGCACCTGGTAAAATGTTTACTTCTATTGTGCCTTGGGGAAACTGCCGGTGAAGCCTGTTGAGCGAAACCAGCAGGAGTAGCCGCTGTCGATAATTACGCCTCAGCCAATGACTGTTGCTCAGGTGAAGCTTATTTCCCCAGAAGCAAGTGGTGTCAAAGCTACATCATCAATTACAGCGGATGGAGCTTGTTTTTAAAACATAGACAGGAGGGGAAATATCAATTTGGACCCTATTGTAGCATGTTTTAAAACTTCCTTGATTTATTTTACCAGCGGAAATATTAATTTGCACCTCAACAAGCAGTGATGCATCAGTCTGAAAAACAGGTACCCACCATGTCCCAGGCAAAATTGGCCAACCAGTACACAGCCGGGTTTACTCCGCTGACAAATTGCAGATGCTTGGCTTTGTTCACCCGCTCTTGGATGAGGAAGAGGACAAAGCTGGCAGGGATGAAGGACATGGCGAAGATAACGCAGATGGACACCACCACGTCGGTGGAGGTTGTGGCCCTGTGATTGAATAAAGCAAAGCAAACAGGAAGTTGACCGCAGAGCTATTACCGTGCACAGGGCCACGGATGAAAGAAACATGAAAGTGGGAGCAGAGATTAAAATTTATTCAGGATTTTGTCTTTTTGAAATATATTTGTGTTTATTCCTACAGTTACCACTGGGCTTTCACATGCTATTATGAAAGAAACATGAATAAAAAATCAACTTTGTTTTTATGAAATAACTGACTATTTCTGAATTGAAATTAAATGTTGTAAAGGTTCAAAAATATTTCAATAAACTTAATTTTGTTACTGGACATCTAAAAAATTAATTACTTACTTGTTGACTCACCAAAAATATTAAAAACAACGAAGAGAACAACAGAAAAGTTTCATGATTTAACACAGGACGTGTGTGATAAAGATTTCAAAATAGCAAAAAAAACAATTTGAGTGAATAAAAGTGGAAATGGGAAATGAGCCAGACGACACAGAGCTGAAACAGCATTCGGGTAATTTCCTAATAAACACATTCGATTTATTACTTTGCGATGTTAGGATCCATTTAAACCACTTTTGTCGCACCTGCAGAAATAATCCATACGCCTAATTTTGTTAATATTGATGATTTAATTAGACAAGCATTACATACGTTAATGGAAAGCTCTGCCAATGCCGTTTGTACATAATAAAAAAGCTTTTAAAGATTACGATAGGCCACTTCCTATAAAGCCAACAGAGGAGCACAGTTAAAAATGTTGACCACACTTATAACAGTCTCCTTCAGTCATGTTAAGAGCAAATTACACCTTTCTCCTGATGCTGACCTTCATCTCACTGCTGCTCGTCTTCATTTATGTCATCCACCTTTTTGAAAATGTCCTTCTTCGTGCCTGCACAATTAGCATTGGATGAAACTGTGGTGTATTATTTTAACCCCCACCATCATCGTCACCCTCGCCCCTCGATAATCTCTCATATGACTTCCCACTGTGGAATTAGCATATTAAATAAGTTACACTACATGGCTGCATTCATCATCGCCAACCAGACACAATTAGAGCACATAAATATGAAATCATTTACCTCGGTGGGTGCCAACCCACATTTCAACAGGTTTTTCGAGGGGCCGTGAGCTCTGGTTGAGTTGGGAGATAATGTACTGTAGGGGACAGAGATGTGGATGATCTAAGCGTGAATGAAGCATGCTAATTGCTATGAAGACGAGGACAAGCAATCTGCTAATTAACTAATAATGGAAGAGCAGGAAAGATGAGCTGTGGGAGTATAGCTTCACAGTATGGATTGCTTTCCCTCAGTGCACAGTCTTAGATGTTAGAGTGCAGTGTGGCTGAAAGCAGGAGATAATTATCAAATCTGAGGCTCAGGGCAAAACATCCAGTTCATCATTTGTTTTATGCAGCTTTATCTAGATAATGTGGAGAAGCATTTTAAGCTTGATAGAAGTAAATCACAATTACTTTGTCACCTCAACCATATGTGATTTTTAAATGGGATATTTCTGCAGGTGTCAAATCACGTGATAGCCACTAAATTACACCTCAAATTCGACTGGATGGTAAAAAAAAGTATTTGTTGCATTAATATTCCCAAAGCAATTAAGATTCAGTAAATTTCTGAAGATGGTGGTGGAAATCGGAATGACCTATTTTCATGCCATTTGAGAAGCAGCGCACAGAGGGGACTGGTAATTTTTGATGGATGTAAAACATCGACTTTCTTTCCACCTGCACACTTCCACAGTTTTGTGGCTCATGACATCACTTGCATTGAAATTGCTTGTGAAGCACAGCGGAGGAGAGCATCACTCTAAATGAGATAATTCTGCTGCCCAAAACCCGGTGAGAGAACAGGTCATTAGTGATGAATGATTATAGATATAACAGCTCTGGCAATTGTCTCTCTGTGACATTAATGTGGCGTCAATGAGAAATATAAATTCATTTTTAAGTCAGAGGTTCCCCTGCAAATTTAAGTATTTTGTACAGGACAGGCTTTTGGTGGCTCTTCTTATTCCACCAGACAAGGAGGTGCTGACATAGAAAAAAGAAATAAATGAGGTAATTACTCCTTAAATAACCTTTTACATGGGGTGCACTAGAGCTGAAACAATAACTCCATTAAGTTGCTTGACTTGGATAACTTGAGCTTTTCAGAAAAAAACGAACAGATGGCATTCAGATAGAACCGTGCTTAGTTCCCAATTTAACAAATAAAAATGTTAATCTTCAAAAAAGGAGAGCAGTTATAAGTTGAAGTTTTGTTTTTCTCTTTTGTAAATTTACTATTGTCAATTGTCTGCCAATCACTCAATTGATCAATGAAATAGTTCATACAATACTCAATAGCTGCAGCTCAGTGAAAAATTTAACGAGAGGAAAGCAGGAAAAGTAAAGATGTTATTAATATTGTCCACTATGGTTTACTTTCATTTAAGATGTCCCAATAAACCATGATAGTGAACCAGCAAGCACAATAACATGAACCTGCAAGTTTTGCACTTATATGCAATACAACAATAAGTGACTGGCTTTTCCATTTAATGTGTAAATGTCTAAAACTCCATTCATCAACAGTTACTAATGTTTTTTTTTGCAGCTCAGAGAACTTGGGTTTTCAAAAATCTAATGTTTGCAATGCTCACTACACATTGCTCTTCACAAAATAGTATTTCAGCTCACATGGGGGCTGCAGATCAATCTACAATCTAGGTTGTTAAGCAAAATAAAATAATCTAAAAAAAGGTGCGAAAACTCTGCAGGAGACGAATGTTGTTGTTTGAGCCATTGTTCATATAAAAAGCATCAATAAGAGGAGGCTAAAGCTACCTAGCTCCATTGTGCTTCGTCATCTGCTCAAGTGGCCTTTTTCCCCATTGCTGTTTCAGATCTGTGCACTTCTTCCACAATGAAGGGGTGTTCAAGTTAATCTTGGAAATCATAGTTCATAAATTCTAGTCATCACACGCTGCACAGACTAGAGAGGGGAAAGATCCTGAATCTACGGCAGGCAGGAAGTCAGACCATCGTAATTATCTCTGTCGCAGTCTTCCTCTCTAACTCAGGCCTGTCGTCAGCCCCTGATCACTACATAAATACCTGACTGAGGAGCGGGCTGGAGCAGCAGCGGAGTGTCGAATAAAACTGCTACTGTGTGGTGATTGGTAGCAGCCATTGAAATGCCTGTATAATGTCAGGCCTTGTAGCTATGGCAGTGGAAGGTAATTTGCTGCAGTGGGATGTTTTCCAAGGGCTTTCCATCAAAAGCGTGGATTGAATTAACGTCGCTTAACGGCTAAAATGCTAAATATCGACACCAGATAACGTCGGAGATTGCGCAGTAAAATCAGTCGAAGAAGTACATGACAACACGCGGAGCTGCCAGAATCGTATGGTACGAGCTGGTATGTTGTGATTTAGCATGTCATTAATCTCTGATTCTCATGGGGAGCTGCTCCCTTGCCAGCCCTGGGATGAGGAATGAGGAAAAATAAGGAACATCCTTTTAAGGAGCTCCCCTGAGTCTTAAAATCTGTGCTTATGCTCAAACAAATCCCTCATCTATCCGTCTTGCACTTTTCTATTGTATCATCTGTTACTCGTCTGTTCCCACTTTGGCTGTCTTCACTTTTCACTTTCTCCCAATCCACTGCTCTGTCCCTCTCACTCACCAGCACTCTCTCCCTCCTGTGTCCCCTGGTGCATTCTCAGAAAATCCAAATAGTATCTCTCAATAAGAGAAAAATGCATCATAGCAGCAGTGCATGTTGAAATGATATGAATGAAACTACAGGAAGGGTTTGCAGAATTATTTGTTCTGCAGTAATTACAGAATTCACCATAAACACTCCATGATTTTCCTCCAACAATATGATACAGCATCCTGTCAGCATTTTGCACCAACAAGCTTGGTTATATAGCTAACTGATGCCATTTTTAAATTTTCAAGGCCATGTTTCCCACAATATACAGAAATATAACAATGACGACCAGTAAAGAAAACATTTCATTCCGCGCTCACTTCCTCCATGCTGTCTAAACCAGATCCCCCCCTCTAACCCTTGTTTTTGGTCTGATGAACTCACAAGGCCACAAAGGAGAGCTGCTCCTTGGTGAGGTTGAGGGGGTGATTGGACACAGAGATGCCGTACTGGTGGGGATCCTCTCCCGCTGGCAGATTTCCCCTCAGGATAGCATTGTTGGCCACACCGAGGAAAGACACCATGCCGTGCCATGCCTGGTTGTAGAACCACACCTGCCGAGGTAGAGACAAGCATTAGCGCTGAGAACAGCGTGCGGAGGGTTTGCGGTTGCTTCAGATGTCTCCTGGCAACCACATCTGGCAACCGCCATGGAAGATTGGTTTGGAAAAAGATTCAACAGGAAAGTAAAGAAAAGACAGAGAATTGTAAAAGATGCAAGGCACGAAAATGGACCAGTGACGGATGAAACATCTTATGATTACATTATTTTCAAAATGGCGACAAAGGCATTTCTCCAGTTTATTTCCTGAGATGTATTTGTTTTAAATTCCTCCCTTAACTTAATGTACACAGTTCACAGTTGTTTCAACTTAAAAAAATATATTATTTTACATAATTTATTTTCTTATTCTGATTTGTTTGCTTCATGTCTGGATGTCCACTGAATAAATATCAAAACACAATACTTGGTTTTATCTATTTGGAGGACGGGAGGGACCTGGAAGTGACATTAATCTTGAATTATAACGACTTTGCCTGGAAATATTTGGAACGTAATCCTTTGCATGAACTTAATTGCTGATTAAATATGGATCCTCCGGACAATTCTAACACGACTGACGCAAAACCCAATTGTGCAGACATTCTCCAGAGTTCATGTCTGAAAACAGATTGTGTTGTTGCACGTTGTGATTCATATATTCTATTCAGAATTTCTCTTTCTTTGTCTCGCTTGATGGCTAAAATACAGCAAGAGATAAAATTGATTTTGTCCACTCTGAGGAGATGGGTTTTATATCGTCTCAAACATTTTTTTGCTGGCAACATCCCGTTCTATCAGAATAAGCAAAAGGGATGACAAAATATTTCAGTTTAATAGAAGTTAAAAGCCTGTGATGACTGCCAAATCCCAATATGGCGTGGCATGCTAGCTGCTGTGGAGACAGTATAAAAACAATTTTGCACAATTTCTCTTTAATGTAAGTGATTCTCTGAGTCTGTGGCTGCTGGGGTGTGGAAAATAGAAAGAATGGATGAAAGAGAGCGGGAGAGAGAGAGCGGACTCCCCGCTGATAGTGCAGCGTTAATTAAGAGCGGATGGTGTTTGAGTGTCAGTCTAACATAACACTGCATCACAGAGGAGGATATGAAGAAACTTGAGGAGACACAGATGTGCACGCCTGTTTGCAGCTCTCTCTTGCTCTCTTGCACACAGATTGACATCAGTTGAACTTCACTTTATTATAGTTTCTTTATTCTCTAATTTCTGCAACGCCTGAAGCTAAAATATCATTTGATGTGTTTGAGATAAGAGCAAAGAGCACAAACACGTCTGCGAAATACAAGAAGGTGCGACAGTGGGAGTGAAAACTATGTGAGAAAATATGATTGCAAGCCACTTTAATATTTCTGATTCTGAAAAGACCAAAAACCTCAACTTTTTTCAACAAGAGGAATAACTGATGAGATATTATCCTCAACTATACAACTATATGCACATGTAGTCAAGTGTTTTATTCATTTCGCAATTAAATATGTGACAGCAGATTGCTTGCACTTAATACATTTATTATAAAAATACATTTTAATCATTGAGTTACCCACCATTTGGTAACCAGAGATTATCTGTTACCTGTACCTCAGGCGTACAAACTCTCTATCTTCATTTATATATATATTCTTAAGTATATCATAGAACTATTTATTGTATTCTATCTTCTTGGATTTACCTTATTACTTGTAACATCGGTTTTATTGTAAACACAATTTGTAGCAAACATAAATATAGCTATCATTTTTATTATTGGGAACATTGTCTCTGCATTAACAGACTGAACCATGATCTGGAGCCCAACCGACTTATTAGCTTGCAGATAAAAAATATCGGCTGATGTGAGTCCGTCACAAATTGGTGTCAACGTTTGCTTATAATGAAAACTTTTATTTTACACGATAAATAAATCAGAAAATAGTTGCATTTATTTTTATATTTCATGAATTCATAATAAATTAAGCGGTTAAATGTTATCAAACCGCTATTTCATTAATTTGGCATAAAAGTTTGATAACAGCTTCTGAATCATTACCAATTTTATATATTTTATATACAAAATCCTATCTCCCTGTGTATCAGAAATGTTTTACTCCTGATATCGGTATCAGCATGAGTTGAGCTCTACCATCATTGTTTAATCTTATTCTTCATTATGACCACATCTCCTCCAGAATTTTGATGGTAGGAATTGCTTATTAGCATTTATGCCACATAATCTGTAATTACTTTAACAATGCAGAGTATATGAGAAATAGTTGGAGACAGTGGAGGTGTGCTCCTTCACCCGTTTCCCTTTTCTCCATGTCATCACCATTGCTTTCTAAAAAAAAATCTCAACCCCACCAGCATGATTTCAACGCAGTCAATTTTCATTGGCTCTAATCTTACAGGAGAGCAAAGGGGCATCCGCCAATTAATATGATACCTTAACGTTGTCCTTGGTTCCCAGCTTCTTCAGCAGCATCTCAGACTTCTGTAAGAGCTCATCAGTGACGTTATCCTAAAGAAGATGAGGAAAACAAGAAAAAAATAGAGTTGGAGACTTAATTGGATACACTTGGAAAACCACTAGTGCTCTTTGAAATGCAAAACATGAGGCAGAGGGAGACGAGAATTAAAACTTCCGGACAGCGTTTGGAAGTTCTGAGCCACTTATTTCCCCCAGACGAGGGGCAGAAATGTGTTCCCTGTTATTTCGGCTACTTTTTCCCCCTTCTGTGTTTTATTAAATTGTGTGAAATAATTAGAAGGAAGAGAATACGAAACAAAAAAAACAACAAATGACCTACTGAACCAATTAGTAAAATCTCCCAGTGTTCATATACAGATATAAAAGGAAAATAACAGTAAAAAAGTGTGTGGATGGTTGAACTGGACAGGTTGCATTAAAAAAAAAAAACCTTCTCTCTTCCACTCGTGTTTCATGTGAAATGAGCCCTGGGACGAGGGCCTGAGATGACAGGTGTTCGATTTCCAAAGTATCATGTTGATACCGTGCTGCTCAGACCTCAGCCATAACAGCAATCGGCACATTACACGTGTGATATAAATGCAAATGGACCTCCTGCTGGACCCGGCCGTCATCGGAAGGGCCGCAGGGAGGAAACGAGTGTGGGGGAGGGGATGTGGCGTGGTGGGGGTGAGGAGAGAGGAACAAATAAGTAGAGAAAAATCAAGAAAGATATCCGGAGAATGTAAGAGAATGCTCCGATGTTTGGGCTGATGGAGTATATAGAGAGAAAAGTCACCTCAGGACAAAGGACTGAGATAATAATGTCTCATCTTTCTTTTTCTATTCCTCAGTCCTTCACTCACACCACGCTGTGACTGCCTCAGAAATGTATGATAAATTCTATTAATGTATTCAGAGCTTTTTTTTTTTCTTCCAACCCGGCCATAGATCCAGTATTCTTTGTTTGGCATGACAAATGTTTACACATCATTTCAGGAACCCAGCGTGACTGCTCCTTCTCTTTCCATATCAGTGTGAAAAAAATAAAAATTCCCCTATCTACGCTGACAGGAGTATTTGTGCTAAATAAAATACCTTCTGTTCCAAGTCATTACCTATTCATACACCAGGCAGAGAACAAGACTCCGACTCTTGTCGGTAATGCCTCCTCCAGCAAAAGCGAGGGAATCTTAACCCTGTTTCATGTTTTTTTTGTTTTTTTTACTTCACTCTGGTTTGCTTTTGTTCCAAGCAGCAACAGGCGGTGCCAAAAGGCGACCTTCCCGAGGATTAGCGGCGACTGAAACGAGATGAGGAGTGGGCCAGCAGCTGCCTGGGTCTAATCCTCCGCAAACTCCTCCCCGCTCAAGGACAATGACAAGGCTGGTTTGGCCGGTGGACCTGCCGGTGCCAAGGCCAACATCACAGCAATAAAGCCACTCGAGTGTGTGGTGACATTTTTTGGTATCTATTCCAAAGTGGCCTGCACAGTTCAGTGGGCGTACAGTCTTGTGTGATGTTGGGTTCATATGTGACTGCCTGCAGTGTAAGAAGTTTGCAATTAGGAGTTTGTGTCTAGTTAAAATAGGAGCTTATTTCCCTCAATTATTTCGGTAATAATACAAAAAACGTGTTGCTTGAGAGGGTTAGAGAAACATTTCAGGGAACAGTTGTGGCATTTACACCATCCACATAACACACAGGTATATTTTTTGGCTTCATTTTAAAATGTCCAGCTCATATATGCTTTCTGGTTCTCATCGCCACCTCTTGCAACACAGAACCTTGTTTCTACCTGCCAGACAGAGGAAATGCAATTACACAGAGATTTCAAAGCCCACATCCCCGTCTGCGCCGGTGTCTCACATCACAACGCTCTGTCCCGTTAGTCTCTCACATCACAGTTCCTGCAGAGCAGCAGCGGAGAGAGTCAGACATTTCCCAAGGACAGTGCAGCACTTTAATCTGAAGGAAAAGAGCTCTGCGAGAGCTAATGCCCGACCATTAGAGTTACATCATCGCTGCCGCACGAATTAAAGTCACATTAGCGTCAAGATCCAGGAGACAGACAAGGGAGCCAGGTTAGGGATGAGACCGGAGATGCCGGAGGGCAAAGAGACGTGCTGATCTCAAAAGTAGTTTGAACGTCCAAATTTTTTAAATGTTAATGAGAGAGCGGGTGTATTCAAGAGAGAGGTGGAGAGAGCGGGACAAGTAAGTTGGTTCAAGATGTGGGGAGCAGTGAAGTACAAATACTGTGTTATTGTACTTAAGTAGATGACTTAAATAATTTTTACTTTTACATTTTAACACAACTATTTTCTACTCTTTACATTTGATGAAATTGTTTTAGATTTTTGGAAATATTGCATCATCTAGTGCCACCCTCCTAACATGAAGGGTGTCAATTGGACAAATACTCCATTCAATACATTTCAACCTGTACAATTTTTCTCATAATCCTTATCTTGCTTTAAATCCTTTTTTAGTGTATTGTTTTTTTCCTGTTTATTTGAAGAGTGGTTTACGTTGAATAGTCTTTAAAGAATATGCATTTGAGGCTACTTTTATACTTTGAGTACATTTCAGAGCCTATACTTTTATTTGAGTAGTACTTTTACTTGAATAGTTGAAATAAAAGTAAAAGAAGTTCTGTGACTGTGTTCCATTGCAGTAAAGACCCCTGGACAATCAGCCTGTTGCCATAGTCCCTCGACAAAATGGATTTGAAGAATCTGAACCTCCTTTCTCCTTCGCTTTTATTCCCATTTCCCAATTTTTCAAGTCTTCAGCGGGGTCCAAAAGTCCACTTCAAACATCACCACCTGTATCCAGGATACAAAGCTAACAGCACAAAGAACGCTGCGCTCCAATTAGCAGCAGCACACTCAAAAGGCGCCTGGAACACTGCAGCCTTGACAGGAAGAAACCGTTTCTATAATAACCTCCCTCTGTCACAAACATCGTCTCAAGATTTGATGTTGGACCCACAGTTACAACAGAGGAGTCACAAAACTGATGACGACTCCCAAGTTTGATTTTTATGATATCTGTAGGTGAACACGCGTTCAAGTATCAACACTCCTGTTTGAATGATCAACTAGTGATGAAACATATTCATTTCCTTTCACTATACCTTATCAAAATGGCTCAGATATAAAAATAAAAGCGATATAAAGTTAATGATGCTTAAACAAACATACTGTAACATCCCAAAACAATGTGAAACCAAATAAATCATAATTTATCATGCTACCATTAGTTTAGTGGTTGGAAACAAACCACTAAGAGAGGACTCAATTTCATTTAATTCGTAAAGCGTCAAATCATAGATTATCTCAAGGAACTTTACATAAGAAGGCCAAAGTATAACTACGGAGGATACTGTGGATATTTTGGCCATCAACACATTTTAATTCTGACGTCAAGATTGTATTTGATGAATAAAAAAACTATGAGTGGATTCTGACAATAGGTGAAACTTTGTCTGTGACAAATGGATCAGAAAACAGGTGTTCTGTCCTTTTTCTGTCCAGAAAAACAAATACTGAGACTTCTGGCATCCTTCTATATCCCTCTGAGCTGTTTCCCAACTGTATATATTGACCTTGCACTAGGATATACTGCATTATACAACTTTTCTACTTGTGAAATATATTCAGAAATATTTTTGATGTACCTGAAATGAACTGAAAAGGTCTCTTAGATCCCTGAATGCAACCTCGATAGCGTCCTCAGTCAGACGGACTTGTGAGTTGACTCCTCCAACAGATACACCCCCGTACCTGAAGTGGCAGAAAGGAGAAAATAAGAGCACACAAAGAACACGATGACAGTTTCCTCAAAATGTCTTCATGTAGCAAAATAACACATAAGGGGAAGCATATCAAAGAGTGGCCCAGTCGTATTTGTCAAAGGGATGTAGAGATGGAAATGGCAGCACAGTGCAAAAGACTTCCGCCTTTTATTCATGTGACTCTCGCTGACCTTCTCAAAGTGCTCCCTCCAACACCACAACAGCAGCGCAGGTAGTAATTTGGAAGTGGCATAGTCTCGTAAGTGCTGTCAGACATCTGAGTGAACCGCGATAACCTCATGCAAAAACCTTGCTGGACAACATTCACAAACACAGACGACTGATATTTATTACCTCGTTTTACCCGAGTGTTCAAAAGTCTTGACTAAGAAGTCTGTCATGTTGCGTCCAGTTAAATCCTCCAATGTGTCGGTCGTGTTCTGGATCCTCTGGTTTGAGAAAAGAGAAAACACAAAATATATAATAAATTAGTTTGCCCCGGTCTGTTTGTTTGTTCGTGAGCAAGACTACGCAACAGCTATGAAGGATATTACTCTCGACCTTGGTGGAATGATGTGGGTTCAGGGAAGAAGTCATTATCTGTCTTCAAACATTTCACTTGATTTCTCAGAATAATTCATGGCTCTTGACTGAAAAAAGCCTGGCACATTTAGGATTTATTTGTTTCACAGTCACATTTTGGTGAATCCAAGTAATAGATCGAGTGAATTTAAATGTGACTGTTAAGGTTTTAAGGCAACTTGTGGTAGAAAAGGATATAAATACTGATCTGATGAAGTTATATGGTTTAATGTGTTAGATTATTGCACATCCCGCAGGTTTTGCAACATTATCATTTCTTCTGAGAAATTTCTGGCCACTCGATCAATGCTTACTCAAATACTCACTCTCCTTTTAGCTGTGTTTTTGTTTCTACCAACTCCTGTTGGTGTCGGATGGGTACCACAAAGAGGGTTTATCATTAAAGAGGTGTTAATTGGGAAACAGCTTCATGACAAATAAGTCGATTAGAGCAGTGAGAGGAATCCAAACTGCCAGGTTGTGGCTCATGACAAGAAAACAATGAGGTGAAAGAAACTAAAATGCTCCAGAGAGCTGAAGGAAGTGATGGTTCAGAACAGTATCAGAATATGATTCATTGGCCAAGCATGTCTGTGCATTCAAATGGCTCTAAATGTTCTTAATAACCTATAAACCATTAACAGTGTCAGTGTGAACGATACACAAGGACATATAAAAACACTGAGCTAAGATAAATAAGATACACATGAGTTATTATGAGTTGTTACATGATTAATATGAAGAGGCTAGTCTGTAAAAATAACAAAAACACATTTATCTTTAGTTCAGTAAAAGATAAGAAATATAAACATGACGTGGTGGTCATGAAACACAATATGATCAGACAAGACCTTCAGCTTCTGAATTTATCTATAAATTCATCACTATGAGAAAAGTAAAAAATTGACCTGTTTCAAAACCTAATGTAAAAAATAAAAGATTGATACATCTGAAGATAAAACTACAGCACGTCTTTTATGCAAAACGAGAGCAGCACCTTATATTTAACTTGCATATAGAGATTAACAGGGTGTGTGTGTGTGTGTGTGTGTGTGTGTGTGTGTGTGTGTGTGTGTGTGTGTGTGCGCAGCATCGAGTTCAGAGGGGTTGACCACAGACCGACCTCAGCAGGCGCACGTTGCTCATTCGTCCATGAAAACAAAACAAAAAATACAAAATCAACAAAACTTAAAGTGGGAACATTTTGCAGGTGAGATCTGCTCACAGCACCAAGCAACTATTCTCCAGACCAGTATCATAATAGTCAATTAAGCTCGGATGAAAACTAGACCCGAGCCAAAGCTGCAAGAGCTGCGTCTGATGTCAAAGGACCTAATTAGATGCCCCTCTGTGGATAAATGGGTACATTCAAACATCCAATTAAGAGAGGGTGCGACACACTGCAATGAATACGCTCCGCAATGTGTAGACTGATACTTCCCAGTACACACACTCATGCTGCTTCATCCCTGCTTATTTAGAGAGGTAACACTATGCTAATTAGCAGAGTGATCCTTGATAAAGTGCAACTGAGACCCCCCGACTGCAGTGCAATTTACTAATTTACCCCCAAGTTACAATGGTTATCTCCTCGTGTGTACAAACAGATTGACGTGAAAGCTTAGGGTACACAGGGTGTGTGGATTAATCTTTGACAAAACTTCCTTGAGGGACGCATTTGGATTCTATTTGGATTCTAGTGTAGATGACAGTGCTGGTCCATAGGGTGTGGATGTATAGTGAAGAGGAGATGGATATACTGTGAGTAAAAAGAAGAATGAGCAAAGGTTTAAAAAAAAAAAGAAAAAAAAAAGAATGATAACGGAGCAGGAAGACTGAAAAATGACTGAATATAGCCGAGGAGGAGAAGTGGAGTCACAAGGCAAAGAACAAACAGAAGGGGAAAGCAGAGGAAGAGTAGGACCCATCTGGTTTATGAATCAGAGATAAGGAGGACGAGCGCCACTGCAACCTTCGCTTATCTCTGAACAAACATGCTTCCTTTTCGAAAAGCCACAGGAACTTGGAAACAAACAAAACCTCCCAAAAATAAGAGCGTTTACACTCCGCTGTGCGTACAATGAGTTTATACCCAAGCATACAGTCAGTGTGGGTCTAATTGTTTTGGCCTGGGTTCATATCCCCCATCAAAAGGCTGAAATGGGAACATTACGTGATTGTGCGATACCTGCGCCTGCATCGCTTGTTCATTACCTGGGAACAGCTTCAGTGTGCTCGACAGTCTGTGTGACATCAGTTCTCCACCACGCAGCGGCAGATTGATAGATGAGGAAGCAAACAGGGGTGAGTGAAATGTAAATGAAGGAGCAACCAAATCTGTTGAATGAGCTGCCGTACTCCAGCGGTGGAAAGATAAGAGGCTGTGCCGTGTTTGTATCGTCGCTGTACCTCTGAGCGAGAATGCAAATTGTGTTTAGAGTGCACCGAGAAAAGCTATTTTTTTGGAAAGCTTCTGTAATTAAACATATTGTGTTAAGGTGTATGGGTTTTTTTTAAAGTCATGATCAGGTTAATTTTATTTTCGTGCATAATAATTTTTCTGCACATGTCAAGTCGTTTTTAAATTCTGCAACTCAACTGTATTGTGATGTGTTGGTTGTGGGAGTATTGCGTGAGTGTGTATCTTTGAGTGCTTCAGGTGCAGCAAACTCCATTTTGTTAATTGATAGGGATCTCTATAAACAAAATATTATTAGGAACATTGTTTTTGCATTAACAGACTGAACCATGTAGAGCCCAACCAAATTATCAATTTGCCATATGAGTCTTTCACAGACATTATGGTATAAAAAAAATTAAAATCAAATAAAAAACATCTGTATCAAAAACAGGACAAAGTATTGAAACCGTGAGACTCCACAGCGAGTAGAGCTTCCACTGCATCTCAGGCTCAACCTAACATAAAGTCAGATGAAATTGAAAATACACTTATCTATTATATTTAGTCGACTAAAAATACTCCACATATCCAAAAACTACTGCAACTTAAAGTGCACATCTTCTCAGAACAATATAAGAACAACTGAAATATATGACAAGCTTTTTCTTCTACACACCAAACTCCACATACACACCTAAATATGGCCGATTTTTTTCCATCAAGATCCATGAATTATTGTATTGGAAATCTGTCAAAACGAAGTCTGTGTATCCAGGACAATATTTAAACGATTCTTCCTTGGTCCATGTCTTATCATTCCAACACGTTTTATGGAAATCAATGCAGCAGTTTTTGCGTAATCCTGCTGATAAACAAACAAACCAAAAGGACAAAAACCTTCTCTGTGTAGACTATAACTGGACTTGTGAGTAAAGCACTTGCCGCTGTGGCTCTTCTGTCCCAGGTCAGGAGAGAGCGGGTCACTACAGCTCACGTCTGGTGACAGATTTTACTCCTCACCCATTCTGCTGTGTTGTTTAACCACAACAAAGAGACACTGCTGCCTCATCCAGCATTTGCCTCCTCTCACAATCCAATGACCTCTGTGCTTCTGTCTCTGAGCACCTCTCGCCCTCTGCTGAGAGGGCGGCTCTGGACAGGTCGTTTTTACACTAAAATGGATCTGCGGGTCTTCGGAGTCAGAGTAACAAATCAACAGGGCCCAGCAGAGAGAGGGATGTGTCACACTGTTAACAGGTTGAGTTTGGACTGGTCTAGAGCTGATCTGTGGTCAGCCGGGCTTGTTCATTGCCGGCAGCTGTTGTCCTAGAGACAGCCTCACACTCGAGGTTTACAGATTTGTTATGGTTTCACTGAGTTGCATGAATAAGTCATTGCATTAGTTTGCCAATAATATCCAGATTTTCTGTTCTGAATCTAAACAAAAAGGCCACACACGATAAATAAAACAGCATCGGGATTATTCTGCATTATAAATGCATCACTTTCTTTCCAAAAAGCACAACAAAGACACATTTTCTTCTCAAAACACCAAGTAGAGAGTGCTCGTCACACACCCGGATTCCGAACTGTCTTTTTTCCACACAAATGGTAAAGCCGATGCCCAATTTCAATACTCTGATAGATGAGGCCAAGGAGAGTAATTTACAAGGGAGCTGCAGTTAGGCCAGTCTCCAAATGATAAAGACATCAATCGTAATGCGATGAACGTGGCGGCTTTATCAATTCCTCCGCACGCATGACGGCCTATTCATCTATGAAGGTTAAATATCACCAGTGAACAAGAGTCAATACCAGAGAATTGATAATGGGCTCACTGTTGCCTGCCATTTCCATGGAAACAATGATTTCACACTACCTCCTGTTGTGCTGTGTCCATGTTCTTTTCTTTCTCGTCTTTTTCTCTGTATTTTCTCAAGGGCATATTCGGAGGATGGGCGGGATAAAAGACAAAAAATAAAAGAGGGCTTGAGTGGAGTGGTACAATTTGTCATGATTTATTCAACAGGGGAGGCTCTCAGGTCAAAGGGAATACATCCTCAAAATGTGCTCGGTGTCTGTGGGTGGTCTCTGCCTCGGACCTGCATTTATTTATGTACCACCCCCCCCTGCGATTGACCACAGGTGAGCAATGATGACAAATGCATGTTCCCAAGAACATGGACATACATACTGAAGTGCAGATGTTTGTCTTGCAACATGTCACATTCATTTATTCATAAATGTCACTATATTTATTCTCAACACAGGCAACGTTTGATTCTTTCCTCCTCTTCTATCCTGTATATGACATGTTTGCTTTCTATTCATGCACTTATGCTCTGCACTACATTTTAAACTCAAGCTGTGCGTTATGACCCACTGGTGCTTTGCAGTTAACAGCAGGGGGACAGGGGAGGATTATAGCTTACTTTCATTTACTATCACTTATAAGGAGAATATACTACTATGCTGGTGAGAGGCATCTTTTCATTATAAGGACCGTGGTCAACCGCTAAATGTTAATATATAATATAAATTCTACTCTAGCAGTTTCCTAATTTTAAAGTCCCTTTAGCCACAGAGGGAGATGACTGGCAATGATCTTGCTGCATGATAATAACTCAATGTCCTCAGGGTTGTTTAGTCTGTTCAATATCCTTTTACAGGATCTCGATTGGAACAAAATAAGATGTTGTAAAACAGAAAGAGAAATGATGCAAGTGACTGTAACAAGAATGGTCTTTTTTTAAACAAGGCTAAGTGTACTATGAGTACCAGCGCAATATACAAAGACATGATACAGTACGAGTAAAGTAGTAGAGTGGGGGCAATTCATAAAGTGAGAGAAAAAGAGGCGAGAAGTACCTGAAATGATATAAATCGGAGTAGCGCCGTTGTAAATGGAAGCAGAAAAGCTGAATAAAAAAGAAATAACTTAATGGCCTGGGTGAAGATACAGCGATACAAGGAGCTCCTGAACAAATGGGGGACTCCTTGACAGTGCTGTCACCAGCTAGGACCGAATGTCAGGAAAAGGAAAAGGTTACACAAAGGGCACTTCTCCTGTTTGACTGTCTCAACAATCATACTATAATATGATCCCTGGACAGTGGCTCCTTCAAAGTGGCCCTAAATGGCCTTGTCATTGGAAGCGGCACACAGCAAGAATCGCACAGGTTCAATGAGGCATTACAGATCCGCAGAGGGTGTGAAATGGGACATTACAGAGTGTGGGGCTGTATATAGGGGAGGTATAGGGGTCTTGGGAGGAAAATGAAGGAGTGCAGAGGAGCCCAGTAGTTTCAGTCGTGTGTTTTTGGACAGTTTTTTAACGTCAGATGTATTAGCCTGTGCTGGTAAGTTTATCTGTCTTGGAAAATGAAGATTCATGATTAAGATTATAATAATGTTGGCACACGTGCTTGTTTACTCTGTGCAGGATTTACAGTATGTCAGGAGGATATGGGAGTAGTTTTTTTTTTATTACATGTTTTAAAGTACTATCATGTCTTTGCCATCTCACACTTATTATCATGTTTAGTTTTTGTTGGCACCATCTCTGTGAAAGGTGCTATATTCAAATAAACTGACAAACTGTCAGACTGACATACGATTTACTGCCCCATCATTCAGTCTTAGTGAGTTATCGCCTCATTTCTAATTCAAAGTTACTGAATAATTGCAGAAAAACTGTTGATATCAGCGCCATGACCAATACATCTGATGTGTGAACTGTTGCAAACAACAAAAAACTTTGCACGACAAGGTCAGCCTAAATGTTCACCTGCAGAACTGGAAACAAAGCATAGCATCACAACAGCTGCAGGTCTTGCAAAATAATGCAATACAGATCACTTGCAAAGAAAATGGAAAGTGGGCTAGCTAGTTAAATCAATGCTATTTTCCAGCCACATTCCATGTATCACACATCATAATACCTTTGCTGTTAGCCTCCATCCAGCCGGGCTAAACTACCACAAATTCCCAACCATCATCAGACTCCAAGAAGAAGACAATTTTGGTAGATGAAGACAGAACAGGTCAAATACAAATATTTTAAAGTATATACACATGCACAAAGCACAGGTAAAAAGACAAAGCCATTTCTGACAAAATGAAGTTGTCGTGGAGACAGCAATTTCTCCATCTGTTCTTTCTGTCTACAGCTTAAGTTTCTCATCATCATTGGAACGCAGGAGTGCAAACCATTCAGCTTCAAATGAGCAATATGTTCTCTCTGTATCGTGACTCGTTCACTCAGCGGGTGGTGGCTGCCAGGCAGATATGCAGGATCTCTAACCTGCTCATTGAGCCTCATCAGATCAGGCCGAGCAGCATTTGCTCTACCTGCATTTGGGCATGTATATTGTTAGAGTAATGGCCTACAGGGGACTGGTATTGACTTATGCAGGGTGAGACACAGAATCCTCCAAGGACTTGTGACGTGAGCAGAAAAGGTGAGATGCTTTACAAAGTCTTGCTGCTGGAACTACATGTTCTGAAGACACGGTGAAAAAGACACGTGGATACACGGTAACTGGATTTTTAACTGGTCTGGGGAAGAAGCTGAATCACTGGCACAGGACAGTTCTGTGTATTTTCAGTGGAATCAATTTCAGCACTGCTCTCACACATGCATGCGAGTTCACAAAAGGGACGCAGCATAAAAGCCTGATTTACATTTTGCAATGCAACGCAGAATCCTTGTTAGTAAGTACCTTTACATTTTCAAATCAAAATGATGCTGACTGGGACTTTCACACTGGAAGCCAGAAGCTTCCATGATAAGCATTTTTTTTTATTGTACTGTTGTGTCACAGATTTTATTTTTTTACCTTTTGACCATCCCACACTGCAGTTTCTCCCTCTGTGACACGTTTAGAAAGCTTGACAGCGAGGCAGGAGGAGCTCAGGAAGGTTTTCACTGTTTTGCTCAGGGGGACTTAGAGATAAAGCAGCTGATCAAACGTTATATGTGCCGCCAAAAGGCTCCAGCGTCAGTTTCAGAGACTAACCTGAGGTGGAGGCAGCCCTCCTGCTCCAGGGGGACAGTCGGGTAACATGATGGTCCGTTTAGGTGTGCTGCACTGACAGGAAGGGGAGGGGTTAGACATGCTCCAGTTCCCGTTGAGGAAGATGTCGCTGACCGACTGATCTGCGGGTGGCGTGAACCAGTCAGACCCACGAGAGGAACATGGTAACATCCTGCAGAAGAAGAAATGGGTAAACTTTGCAATAATTCATTCCTTCCACCCTCATCATCATCATCATCATCATATTCTCTCTCATCTGAACAGAGATTGTGACTGCAGTGTACCATGCTGTGCTGCTGCTGTGTAGCAAAAAACAACATGTGGTGTAAAACATTAACTGGTTATCATACAGGATTCTACAGAAGCAGCTTCTTATTACCCACTTAGTATAAACTGCAGGTGTCACAAGTGATATATATGTATATATATTTTGTAAAAATATTTGAATAACTGAGGAACGTTGTGATGCACAAGCATCTGTGAATTATGTAGGATGCAAGCTTCTATGCTATTCTTGGATTTAAAAATGATGTTCATTGTTCAACCTACTCTCCTCATAATGATGTGGTGTGTGTTAGTTTGTTCGTCTATTCGTCAGAAACATAACGAACAGCATTTGTACCAAACTTGGTGAAGTGATTGGACGTGGGCTGTGCCAGAGACTTGTGACCCTCATTATCCCAAAGGACACTGAATTGAGCGAGTTTATAAAACATTCACTTACATGCGCATGTTTGCAATGTTTTGTGTGCCTCTGTAAACTCTGTATCATAAATATATAATAATAGTAAGTATATATATTATATTGATAACTGTATTTTTAAATTGTGTTTGACAGAGGAAATATTCTCGCCCCCTCCTTCTGTGTCTAGTTTGGGAACCACTGCATTAAGATAGGTCTGGACCTGATAGGCTGGGCTGGATTTGGACAAACACTTTTGAAATGACATTCGGGCTCTGGACAGGTCAGCCACGATTCTGTCCATGTCTTTAATCTGGGAAATCAAGCAATAACCATGTGTGCCAGGAGCAAGGTAACACAAACTTAGTGCAGCTTATATTAAGATGAGGAACGGCCTTGGACAGAAAAATGCTGTCCTCTAGTGCACATCTAATCAATTTCTCAGGAAATAATGGATGGAACTTGATTTAGGATTGTTTTTCTTAGAAGAGAATTGCACTGAGCACCATTCAAGTTTTTTATTGATTAAATTTGTTTTGGGATTTCAAAATCATTCAGGCTGCTCCCTGCCAATGTTCAGGGTTATTTAGATTTTTAATAACTTGTCCTGTTTCTGCAGCAGACAAAGACACATGCTTAGACTTGCTTGACTCCATGTTTGCATTACAGATGTGCACAGATCTGTGAACACGACAAAGCCACTAAGTTTGAAACTGAATAATTAGGCAGGATTTTATTTGCAGCAAAGTCCTGGTTTCTTGTTAACATCAAAACTTACGGTATCGGGTTTCCATTCATGCAGCGAGTCCCAAATCCAGGGTTGTTAACCAGCGTTTCCACCACCTGAGACACCTCCACATTGTTTGGCCCGTCATTGCTGTATAAATTGGAAATATAATTCATGTTAATACGCATGCAAACATTTGGAAGAATAAATTGTGAAATCCAAACAATGGCAAACGTCTCTTTAATCTGTGAGCATCAGCCGGTTTGTCATGAAGTCAATAAATGAGACCAAACCCTAAATTGGGTCTTATGCTCTGACACAAGCACATAAGTCAAATAAAAATTAATGACTGGGATTGTGGGTCCATTTTGATGGGACCATGGTATTACAAAAAAATAAAGATATGAAGATATGAAGTAACAATACGTCTGGTTTATCAAAAGGATCTTATCTTCAAGGACAGAGGGAATAAGACACCCCCACAACCAGAAGACAACTGGGCTCATTTACACTAGAATTGCCGTCTAGACATTCAAAATGGAAATACCGATGGTCCATCAGGTGATGGAGCACCAGAGTCTATCTTCAACAGCTGAACTAATTTACAGAATGACCTCTGCAGCCTCTAATATCAGAATGCTTGGTATTTGCAGCAAGACATCTTTAAGGTTATGTGCTGTTGTGACATCCCCTGATTTTAGAAGAGAGGATGGCCAACAAAGAAAAGAAGAAATGGAGCGGTTAACTGTTGACCTCCGATCTCATTATTGAGATTATTTTAGTACACAACACATTATTTTATTATTTCTTCTGAATCCACTTATCTGAGTGACATAAATCTCCAGAATCTCTCATTTTGTTTGCGACACAATGAAGTGGTTAGTATTTCCAAAGTCTTCTAATCCCCCTGTCACAACTGATTAAGACTTTACAAGTGGTCTTATTTGTTTTACACACTGGCAAAGCACATGAGTTTGGATGGCAATTAATCTTGAACATATCTCGACTTCCAGAAAGGGCCTGAAAGGAAATGGTGGTGCATTCATGTAAATACTCGATAGCAGCAGTGCCTGCCGTTGGAGTTCGTTTAATCAAGAGTGAGAGAAAAATCATTGCTTTTACTTTGGCTTCGGATTCAAAACATGCCGAAACCCCACAGACTGTAAGAACCACATACTGGTTTGGTGTGCACGCCCTCCTTCATGCCCTCAGAACATCTCTGTCCCGACGGGCATTCTTGTGCGAGCACGTCCTGATATGAGCCTGTTCAAGATTCTGTATAAAGCCTTTCATCATTATCTGAGTGTCCTGTGCATTTCTAAGCCTCGAGTCTCAATCTTCCCATTCCAATCCCATCTTCATTACGAGCCAGACACACTCTGCCCCTTTTATCTTAACGCTGCTGTGGGAGTTAAAACACAACGTTTCATAAAGACTATCGCCGTGGCTCTCTGCCAACGGTGGTCACAGCCCAGCCAACCATTTGGATTAATGCAGTGTTCATTGTCTCATTTAGACGCGTCTCCATGAAGGTCACACGGCCATTTCCTCCTTGGCCACCAGTGAGTGCAATTGAAGTGGTCCGATTGTAAAAATGGATTATGTGCAGCCATCTGTTTTGCAATTAACAATGGCTGGGTTACCACGTTATTCAAGGTAATAAAACTATTGGACAGTTCCAAAGTGAAGACTTGTGCACACACACAGAAACAGTGGAACTAATGAAGAGTTTATCTAGACAGAACTCAGACACACAACAACAGAAGAAAGGCAAATAACTGCTACGTAAATTATAAAAAGACTAATCCCTTTGGATAAGATGAAATCAGAAATAGTGTTCTTGTTATTTGAAGTGTAAATATTACCGTCCATACTCTCATATCTCTTTTCCAATTAAAAAGAAAAAAGGGTATAAATATATAGAGGGTATAATGTTGCCACAGTGACACATTATACACTAGTGAGCAGGGCCCAAAGCCCCTTGAATTTCTAAATTAGATCAATCATTATCTTTAATCAGCCCCTGCTAAAATGGATCATTGGCATTTATGAGGTTTATAGTGCAACAATGCTCCTCCGATCGGGCTGGATGGATGACAATGGATGAAAAGGCACACAACTTTTAATCACTCAGTCATCACTAAGTAGGTTGTTTTACAGTCAGTGAAGAGAAGACAATATTTAGTGATCGGCCGAGGGGAATGTCATAAAAATTAAGAACGCAGTGTATCACTCTAGAAGAGGTCACAGAATTGCCCCACCCCCCCAAAAAACTGAATGTGATGCTCGTGTTGTAATTGTGAGGTCTTGTATGTGAGGCAGGATTTTATTTCTACTTCCTGCTGGTCTTTTTTACGTTAATTAATAAAGTCACATCATGAGTATTTTTCCACAATTTCATGTGAAGGTCTTTTTTTATGGTTTTGAAAGCGCCTGGTTAAATTTCACCGCTATATGGATAGCACTCTGTTGTTAGGTAGGTTGCTAGGCTGGCTGCCTGGGTGCCTCTAACAGTAGCAATTGAGTTCTGGGTTTTTGGTAGCATGTGGCTAAATGGTTGGGACTACGTTCTAATGGAAACTCCATGCACACCATGCGATGAAAATCAACTGTAACAGCAGATAGACTTTAGGTTCGACTGTTTCAGCACCACGGAGAGAGGCAGGATATTTTAAATGTTTCAGCACCTTGGACAGAGAGAAGCATAGACACACTGAATGTGTGTGTTGGTGGAAGGAGACAGTTTTTAATATTACTGTTTTGTGAATTTGCAAATAATAATAAGAATAACTAGACAAATGAAAGGACATTGTTGAGCACAGAGCACAAAATTCATTTTTTGGAAACCTTGGAAAAGTTATTTTTCTGGATGAATGTTCAGAAAAGTTTCTCTAGTGAAGTAATGTTCCAAGTGTTGTGAATTATTTCTGGATTCTTGTTTCGCTGATAAAAAAAAAATCATAACCAAAGCTGCATGCTGATGGGTGATATTATTAAGGACAAAGCATGGCATTAGTATCAGTACATAAATAAACTGAAATATAAAATAAATTTGCGTTGAAAAAGGCAATTTCTTTTATAAATTAATTATTTGTAATTCATAAGATATGTGTTATAAAGTATTGGATATATCATAACAAAACCGTGGGTGTCTGGTCATAATTGCAACTAAACAAAAGTGCTGTTTCCTACTCTGACCAAGAGCAAAGATTGCACCTTAAATCAACCAGTTCCACTCAAGGCTACAGTTATGGCAGCAATGGCAGATTCATGTTACCAGAACAGTCAGTGTCAGGACGAGTATGTTGCTGTAAGCCAAGATGTATTTCACAAAGTGTTTGGCACTTTAAACAAACTTTTGTCGTAAGAGAGTCAGACAAATCATGTCACAGTGATTTTGGACTTTACTGGTAAAACTATGAAGAGATTTAACCTGTAAAATTATAAAATAAAGAGTTGTTGTTATTTCTAGTATATCGACTGAATTGTAGACATCTTCTTTTTGGGTTGACAACTAACAGATCGAAAGTAAAAGCTTTCACATCTGAGGGTCGTTTTCTATTTTATCTACATCCCCTGCAATAAGTTAGAAGGTGTTGATGTGGACCAAGGCTGTGTCGTGTCACCGATTATGTCTGTGATCCTCAACGACAGAATATCAAGCTGCAGCCAAGGAGAGGACAGTGTCCAGATTGATGACCTCTGCGATGCAAAAATCTTTTGGCAAACGAACGCCATGAGCAGCGCTGTGACATCTTTTTACTTTGATTTCCTGTCGCTGAAGTGTAACTTTCTTGCAGGGTTGCAGTATATTGTTCATTCACTGTTGTTTGCTACAACAGCCGCCCAGTTCTTCTTCAAATTATTCACACACTCTGCACCTCTGATAACAGGGGACATAACTTTTTAGGAGTTCTTTTTCCCCTTGAAAAATGTTGTTGCTTCTATGAAAGAGGAACAATGAAAACTAACAGCCGAGAGTTAAAACCTGGGTATGAGCTCAACACTGAAATTATTGTGTTATATCCGGCCGCAATAGAGGGGATATAAAACTTGCAGGAAAATGTCACCTTTTTATTGTGGACGTTGAAATCTAAATTTAAATATTTGCTGACACTCAGGTGTTTCCATATCATTTTAAAACTGAGGCACCGAGCATAAACATTTTGCAAAGTGCCAAAAGTGGAGGAAAGGGAAAAAACAATGTTCTCTAAAGCTCTGGAGAGCAAAGACACTTGGCCTGATAGCAACAGTAACAATAACACCCGAGAGCTTAAACCTGGCTATGAGCTCAACACTGAAATTATTGTGTTATATCAATTTGCAATAGAGAGGATATGAAACTTACAAGAAAATGTCCCTTTTTTATTGTGGACATTGAAATGTATATTCGAATATGTGCTGACTTAAAGGATTTTCCATATCATATTAAAACTGAAGCTCTTTTGTAAAGTGCCAAAAGTGGATAAAGGGGAAAAAATATGTGGAGAGCGAAGACAATTTCTTCCCCTGAAACTTTAAGGTTTAAAATGTGGGTTAACTTACATTTCAGGACAATTTCTTCACAACACAGATATTATTTTTCAAAATGGGGAGAGTACCATTCTGTTCTGCTGCTACAGAGGAAATAAAACAAGTCCTCAGTGTCTCTCTGTGTCTTTACTGCAGGAATGAAACAGAACATATGTTTCAAGATCCAATAATTCCATCCGTCACAGATGAGGAGCTCAGGACTGACGTATGAAAAATGTTCACTGCCAGAGAAAATAATTATGCAAGAGGAATGACAGTGATCACTGTAGGAACTGAGTCAGCTGACTAGTGACCACTGGGAGAGATTGAAAATGAAAAATTATGTCTTATTGTCTGATTGTTATCGGGGCATGAGCAGAGAGTAGCTTGAATCCATTCACTGTAAATCTTCTTTTATAAACGTGATGTTGTACGTCACACAAGACAATCGCTCACAAACATACCAAGGATTACGTTTTGACAGAGTCCACTAAATAAATGAGCATATTGGTTTTGCTTTTTTTTCCCCTCTCTCTCTGCAGTGAAAACAACAACCCCAACTGTGTTTTTATAAATATTGCAACGGCCCTTCAGGAAAACACATACAGGGTTTTAAAATGTACCAGAAAAGTAAGTTACCTGTAGAATGTGGTTTGAGGTAGGTCATACATCCAGGGCTGCAGCTCCAGACTGGGATATTCAGCGAATGGCGGGAGGATGAGTGAGAAGATCAGAGACATGCACACGAAGAAAGAAGGCAGGACCACCTGGAAGAAGAGGAGAGTTTCCTGTGAAACTACAAAATGACTTCTCTGCTTATCACAGCTATCCTGCTGCATCTGGAAACTTGTTATTGAGTCAAATATTTAAGATGCCATTGAAACTAAATGTCAACTAAATCATGGATGTTGCTTGTAATATATAAGGTGGCAAACACTTAACAAACACCATTAGCTGCAGCACATCAGTAGCATTAGCATGGCTGTATCATTAGGCAGCATGGTAGCATGTTAAGCTAGCACTCACAAACCATTTAATCTTTCTAAACTGTAGTGAAACCCAGAGAGTCCACAACCAATAGTCAGAAATAACCTGAACCACACACAGTTTTATTTCACAAACATTCATTGTCATGTAATGTTTTGGGAACACGTGTTCGTGATGTTGCGTCCACCCCCTCTTACCTTCACGCAGTGTCCTGGTCCTACTGGCAAAAAGGAAGTGGAAGATTCCAACTCTATTTATAGAGAGGGGAATCTGGAGTGTACCACATACAAGCCAGTCCAGAGGGGTGTTTTAAATGATATCACAGAAATGCTCTTTTAAATGCCCATCTAATATAATAGTGGTTAATAGGTCGTTAAATGCTGATGGGTGTATATATATATTATTATAATTATTATTATTTTTTTATTATTTTTTTTTTTTCAATGTCATATCTGATAGAGATTTGTTTATTGATATTTGTCTCTATGGTTTGTCTTGTAGGAGGAACTTCCTGGAGGCCGTGTGTACGAGAGCCCACGGGTCAGTGGCCTAGTAATGTGTATTTGACTTCAGTTTAAAGAGTTTTTGTTTGTTTGATTAGTATCTTTTAAAAAAAAATTCTCAACTCTGCACATCCCCACATTGTACCTACACGGGACCGGTAACTAAAATAAATTTAAGCACCAGGTGAAGATCTCGAGTCATGTCTCCTTCTTCCACCATGGGGCTCAATATTACAGGTGTTTCTTGTTTTGTTTTTATGGGTTGTAGCTGCAATTACAACAACAGGGTGGCAGGTCAAAACCAAAAAATAACACAAGGTGAAAAACAAAACTATTATCTTAGCCAATTCAATTTCAGCTAACAAGTTCTGTAACAATAACAAGTATTGAACACGAAAGCAAAAAATAATGAATGAGAGAACTGAATCGCTGTATTGGCTTTATTGATGATGGCTGCTAAGGGTTACAAGATGCTGATCCCTTATTGTACTACATGTGTTGTACCCATTACTGTGAGCACAGAGCTGGAGTTATAGTTACCTCTGCCAAGTTTTCATTGTCTACACAATTGATTTTCTTGAAACTTGGTGGAAGTTAGGCGGAAGTTAACGCATATATTTTTAGAGTGCATTCGACTAAGGGAGCTGATTTATGAAATTGTTTCCTCTTTCTGTAACACTGTGAGATCTTGGAGAACACATGCTTTTATCCGAGTGCCCCTCCAGTCCAATAATGGAACTATAATACACAAGTGCAGGTGTGTGTGTGTGTGTGTTTGTGTATACAGTTTGTCATTTTAACTGTGAACACAAGTTTGCGACCAATGTAAGGTTACGACATACAATCACATAATTATGAGTTACACAATTCTCACTGGCCTCCTTTACACGGATGGAAAAATAAAATATGGTGCATGTTTGTATGTGTGTGAGCATGAAATCACAAGATTCACTGCAAGATCGATTCCATCATCACCACCCAGAGCGCCCCCCCCCCCACTGTACAAAATGACTGATTCAATCAACAATATAGCAGGACCACCGCGATAATGTGCGCACATTAATATGCTCCCAACCAACTTGTTTGGGCTCTTCTGTATGTTTTATGAGTTTGATTAAACACTTCCAACACCGCCACCACCATCTGGCCGCTCAGATATAATTAGTTTCTTGCTATTCTCTTGTCTTTTGTGCGTTTTTATTTTTTTATTTTAAAACCAGACACTGCCACACTTCCCCCCCCCCCATCCCCCATCCCTGTCCAGTCCTCTTCCCTCCATTATGCACTTGTCTTTTCATTTAATTTCATTGTTGGAGCTGACGAAAAGGTCAGTGGGAAAATACGCAACATATCTTCCATGTGTAATCACTTGCAGGTTGGAGCGTTTGCACAACGGTTGGGGAAAGGTTTGCATACACTTGATTAATTACGGGCCATGCAATTTGCCAGGCCAATTCAAAATGCTTCAATTGAAAAAAATTACAAAAATTACAGCGTGGCCTCAGAAAATGTGCTCGGAAGAAAGATAAAGAGCAGCGATGAGAGTGAAAAGCTTAATGACGCGCTGCACAAGAAAGAACTTTTCTGTTTCTCCTGCACACGCTCCCTTTTTTGCTCTCTTTCTCTCTCTCTCAACAGTAATTGCAGGTGACAGCTGGTACTTGTTCCGTTGAGAGAGAGCTGCAAAAAACAGGGAGAAGTCATTATGCCCACAAAGCCGAAGCACTCCCATGAACAATGCATGAGTTTATAGCGTTCTAAACTTTGGCGGGGATTTAAAGAAGAGGGGTGGGATTATATGCAGAATTGGTTTAAGCAACAAAACAAGATTAAGACGCGTTTTCTTCTCTGCAAAGTCCAATAGCTCATTAGAGTTTGTTTCCTCCACAAACATTTCCGCCTCTCCAATTTCATTCGTGAGTAATTGCATGATTGCTGCACCTTGTGTTTAAGAGGATAATAGCGTCACCTTGGATATTTTGTACTGCCGTGTTAATGATGACTTCTTTTCACAGCATTCAGATGAAATGCAGTAAATAGTCAATAAAGCTATTGTTATCTCCCAATGGAAAGAATATAAATTCAAAGCGATACAGAATAAGCAGTTTGTTGCGTCTGTTAAGATAAATTTAATAAAAGGACCATTTTCATACTACTTGAAATTAAATTCAAGACCAGAGTTTGCTAGAATCATCAGCCTTGATCACATTGTTCCAACTTTGAAAGACGTTTGACCCACAGTGCAGTTTGCTTTATAATCACACCGGCTGTCACTTGTAAAAAAGTTGATTAAAGCCATTTAAAAAGCTTTTATCGCATGATGCTGATGACTTTTATTATCTGTCCCTTCATATTGTTATTATTTGTGAATTTGTTTTTGAGTTTGTTGTAAAGCACTTTATTACTTGTATTAAAAAGGCCTATACAAATAAAGGGATTATTATTATCCTGAAGAGTATTTGTCATTCGGAGGCCACACACTGGGTTCAATTTTATTTGCACCACTTTCATAAACTAGCTAGCAAGCTGGCTACAAAGGCATAAGTAAATGATATATATATATATATATACACTTAACCATGCAGCACACGCCAGAACTAAAACTTAATTCTCCTTCAGAGGAATTTTCATGGTGAAGTTCATGAAATTGATGAAGTTCCTAAAAATGCAATCTCAGTTTCAAACTACATAATACTTTTTTAGTTTACTTCTCAAGGACCCACAGCTACTCTGAATAAGAGTACAGAAACAATAAGAATATACTCTGCATTACAGAATGTACTTCATTTACAGTTTAACAGCGTGGTAGTGGTGCTGAATGAGGCATTGTAGTGAGATCAGTGTGAGCCTTTCAACTACAACATTACCAGTCCCTGCCTCTCCACTATTGTGATATTGCCAAGAGTCACCTGTCCCCAACTTTCATCCCCATAAATCACTGCTTTTGTGTTACATGCCATAATCTCTTTTATATTCCCCTAACCGCTTGTATTCGGGGAGATTACCTCACCACACAATCATATCTGCTGACAATGGGAGCTGTTGACATGACGTGGGGGGGGGGATAAAGAGGAGGAGGAGTTAGGAGGTGTGCCCTTGCAGACTGTGCGCACACTCGTACGTACACACTCACACACTTATCTTTCCATCCGGCTCTGGGTTCTCACTAAAGGGGGACGTCCGAGATTGACAGTGACTAATGGGGATTGGTACTGCAGCAAATTACAAGAACAACCCATACACCTTACAGAGGTGAAACATCTCCCTCTCTTTTTCTTTGTCTCTCTCTCTCTCTCTTTTTTTTCACACACACACACACACACACACTGACTGGACGAGCTGCGATTCAGTCACTTTCACTTAACGTTATTCCAGCGTCACGACACTGTCCTGCCTGATGGCGTCACATGATATTTACATGCACTATTAATCTATACTGGAGGTGGTTTGCATGTGTCAAAACAATTTAAGTCTGAACACAGTTTTTAAAACTCGGTGGAAAGAAATTATTTAAGTATCTTGGAAACTGCTACTTAGTGGAATTGGTTTTGACTCGTTTAAATTACGTCTGTTTATTGGTTTTGACTTTTGAAATCATGTTTATGAGGAACAAAATAATATAGACGTAGATTTAATAGGCTAATAGCAGTCTGTCATCGCTGTAATTGTTATGCTCTCACTTTTAATACGTGGCTAATGAAAACACATGATTAGCAAGTAAAATGAAAGAAAAACAAATCACTGCAGTCACTTTTTAACTTTCTGGTGCCAATCAAAGTGATCAGGTGAAGCTGAGGCCAAGAAAACAACTTTCACATGTTTTGGCAAAAGTGAGAGTGAAAACATTTCACTCACACAAAGTGATTGATTGAAAGGGAAAATTCTTCTTCTTCACGTCAGCAGTAAACACGTCCATGGCGTCTTTCGCCTGGTTCGTCCCTCAGGTATTCTCTGGTGTAACTCATTTACGAACCAACACAGATCATTGTATGTGCAGTTTATTGACTTCGTGTTACATCATCACTCTGAGAGCTGCTCTTCACTTTCCATTTCTTATCCGACAGGATGAATTCTTAAACCACTGGCTCCATCAAGATGGATGACGCGACTGCTCCCCCCACATCTGAAATTAGCCTCCTCCATCATATATGTCATTAACTGATTTTGAAAGCCAACATGTATTTTATACAATCTTACCTTGATCCTCCCCCATGCAACCCTCCGTGTGTAACCCTTCAATTCATCAATATGACAGACTGAGGCCATTACCTGGGCAATGACTCCCTTGCGGCTCCTGCGGGCGTGGTGGAAGCGCTTGATAAAGAGCGCCAGGAACTGCCTCCTGATCAGCTCCCACCCGGTGATGACGGTGGATCCCCTCCCACTGACAGGGGTGTTCCTCTTTAAGTCTGGAGTGGACATGAAATGTTATTTATCATCGCTCTTCAGAGCAGGAACTTATGAAAAGGGCGATAAACAAGGGATTTGTAGACACCTTGTTTCACACTCCCAGAGGATACTTTTATAGAAAAAAGAAACACTATCTTTCCACAAGAGTCATTAAGGTAATAAAACATATTGTGAAAACCTTTTCCACGATGAAAGACATTGTATGAAAGTGAATTTACTTTAGATGGGCAAAATTGAAAGGGCGAAAAGACAGGTTGCATGAAGTCGCACGGATTAGAAGAATATTATTTTTCCTCAAAATGACTTCCTGTGAAGAAGGAGCTCTTGTTTATGCCCTCTATTCAAAAAGGCTACTGAGGTGGAACAGTCAAATTAAAGCCAATGTAAATCAACTTAATAATTGCAGAAAAAAGGGTGTGTGGAAGAACAGACATCCGCAGGACATAATAAAACTAAGGTGGACTGTAGTAAAGGTGAAATACAACACCCACCTTCAATTTTACTTGTAAATCGTTCCTTCAACTCTACATGAAAAACAGAAAGGAGAAAAACTCAAGCAGGACTATAATGGATCATTTTACTCAAATCAAATTTAAAGTACAGTAACAGCCAATTATTTAAGTAGTTTTCTGCATTGTTAAATACACTCAGACCATTTTAATTGACTTTCCTTCGCTAGAAAATTGAAAAATAAACAATCGCAGACTTTGAAGACACTTGCCACTCATTCCAGAGACTTGTTTTGGTTGTGCGGATGTTGTGTGGATGCTGGCGATGCTGTTACGCTTGGATTTGCGGGAGCTTCTCTCTCTGTCTCTCACAACCGGCTCCTCTGTTGCTGTGGGAAAACAAATAAGATGTGTTGTTTTGGCCTGACCCAATTTAGGGTTATAAATAACAATAAGAATAGCTACCTGCCCTGCACAACACCATATTATTTCCTGTAAAAGCACGAGCCCAGGTGTGTTTGGAACATGAAACAATGCGATTTTGAGAAAAACGTGAAAAGCGAAGTGTTTTGGGGACGGATCCAAACAAAAAAACGCTGGAGAGGAAATGTTATTTTTCTACTGAGGTCGACCGATGAGTAATAACAGTAAGAAAACCCAACATCATTCTGTTAGAGTATATATATTCATTGTATCTGCAGAAATAAAATGAACCATGGATTTATGTCTCTAGTGCCTTAACCTCATACAGTATGATTAGACTGTACAAGGGATATCATGCTAAATTATGCAATAATCAATACAATAGATTATTGTGGAATGCATTAGAGTGTCAGGCACAACTGGAGCTCAAACAGAAGATGTTAATGCAAAGCGAAACATTTAGATTTTTCTAACTGAAGGCCACAGTATATCCACACTTAATGAGAAAACTGATTATTCTCCCTCCGGTTCTTTCTTCACTTCAATCACTTGGATAAGGTGAGAGGGAATTTTTTTTTTATCTTTGACATTGCACTAAAAAAAGTTTTTTTTAATTTCTTCACAGCAAGAGCACTCAGTTCGATTCTTTTCCAGGATCAAACCTCACCACCCTTTGGGATAATTTTTTAACAAGTATATCAAAACAGACCCAAGGTTTTCTTGATTCTTTTCCTTCGGATAAAAAGATATATAAATGTATAAATGTAATGCAAAGAGAAGTAGGAATTGGTGAACTTGGCTCTGTAGCTGGTTCTGCTAACGCAACATATATTTTAATGTGATGAAGCTAAGTCAGCATTCATGTTGTCATCTTACTTTGTATGTCTGCGTCCACTCCAGTGTCTTCTGCCACTTTAAGAAATATCTGTGTTTAGAAAACATGTATTAGTAAAGTGCCATGACGGTTACACGTTCCCCTATCATCTAATAATCATGCACACAAGTAGAATGACTCCAGACCAGTGACCCTGCAGTGAGTGTGGGTTTTTTAAAAAGCTGCGGTCATGGCTCAAAATTGACCTTAAATTCAAATTCAGTCAAGCGTGTGCAGATTCAATGTCAAGTTTCTGCTTATTATCAGATCAGGGTTGTGATGTTCTAACCTCTGCTTGAACATGTGCCAACCGGCCTCTCTCAGAGAAGTGCCCTCCTTGACTCTGTTTATTCAGGTTATGTGTCAAAATAAATAAACTCTCCATTAGTGAGAAATGTTCATGTGACTTCTCGTTATTTCTTTCTGTTGCGCGCGTCGATCCCCCGACTCATCACCTGCCGTCTAAAAATACTGAGAGCGTGACTGTGATTTTATTCTGTGAATTATTTCAGAGAAAACGACATGAAACTGAGTCACAGGCATCGACCGACCAACTTCTGCATTAGCTTGTGTTTATTATATGGAAACTTCCAAAAGAAAACTGAAATAACTTTGCTGTGTCTCAAATCTAAATATTCAAGAGGAATCATTCACACTGTCTGCAGGCTGTGTCAGTATTTGATAACAGTCACTCAGTTTAAGGATCTAAAACTTGTGTACATGTCAACACACAGTGAGTCATAGGATGTTGTCTATGTGTAAACATATACACGTACAGTTGTATTATTAGTAGTGCAGAGAGTGAGTGCCTATAG